AAAAGTAAGTCAAAATTTTGACTTATTAACTCAAATTTTTGAGAAAAGTAACTCGAAATTTCAAGTTAGCGCTGCCAATGACTTCGTGAATGACGTAATTTCTTGTTACTCGGAAGCTGAAGCCCTCAGCTACAAATGCTACAGCTAAGCTACCAGTATTGCAGTCAGTCATGAATGCACAAATTGCTGAGTATTTTCAGCGTGGCTTCACAAATGATGAAATCCTTGTGTTATTAGCTGAATCACATGGCGTTACTATCAGCAAACATACTCTCGAAAGCGCCAATTTGTTGCTATACATTGGTAGCTCACGATCTGGTTTTGAGTGCACATTCCTCTGCTCCATATCCTTCCGGGTAATAATAATAATAATAATCATCCGGTAATAACTCCAAATTTCAAGTTATGGATACTTTTGTTTTGATTCCCAAGAATCTATTAAAACTAGACATAACTCAGCAACTGGATAAGTGAAGGCCAAAAGACTGAGCATCAGGCTTCCAAAAATAAATAATGAGCGATGTATTTGGCCCTTCAGCTGATACATGAAGTGACCTCAGTGGAAGAGTGGCTGTCAGGAAACCTAAAGGATGGGAAACAGGGAGAAAAGACTGAGGTATACCAAATTACACAAGAACTAGAGTGAATGACTAGACTGTTTTGAACACAAGTATCAAGGAGGTTAGGAGCCGGTGGTTAAAAAATGGTTGAAATTATGAAAGCAGAAAAGCATGGTCAGATTTTCATCCACCGAGCAAGACAATCTAGAAAGCATCTGATTGGCAACAGCTTCTTCTTTCAGCATGACAATGATCCCAAACATATGGCCAATGCAGTAAAAGCACACGTGGACAGCAAAAACGCAATTGAACACTATCAGTCATGGATCATGGATCAGTCATGGATCAAGATTATTGGAGCAGTGTGGGATCATCTTGACAGAGAACAGAACGAAAGGCAGGAACATCCAAAGAAGTGCCTTGAATATATTTCAAGATGTCTGGAGAACTATGACCGAAGACTGCTTAAAGAAATAAGAAGAAAGCATGGCAGAGTTCAGGCTGTGTTGAAAAATAAAGGTGGTCATGCCAAATACTGACTTTCAGGCTTGTTAGAATTGTTCAAAACTTTTTTTCCCTTATATACCGTATTTCTATGTGTGTTTGCACATGTTTGCGCAAGTCACTGTACCTGTTTCCCAATTTCTGAGCAATTTGGGATAAAGTTAGCTGGATTGTCTTTTTTTTTCTTCCACAAGCTATTTGCCATTGCATAACAGCAAAGTAAAGATGTCCTTGTTATGGAACCTCCAGAGACACTACTGAGAGTAAAGACAGCAGCTTCTCCCTCAGCAGCAGCTCAGCCATGCTGAAATGCCAGAGTCTGGCATGCTGGTCATGCTGTAGAAAGAATTTTGGACCAATAATCATCTACTTCCTGACTGTATTGTAAGGATAATAATCTAAACGTCTAAAGTACCTAAAACCTTTGCCCTGTACTGTATATTCTCCATGTCCTATGTTCTAGTTTAATTAAATAATTACAGGAAGCAGTGTTTGCATGTTTTTAAATTCTTTCCTGTAGTTGAAGAACCTTGGCTTAAACGTGGCCTTTGGACATCTGAAACCCGACCTGTCCCCATGCATGTACAGCAAAACGCTGCAAACCAAAATGAAACTTTTAGCTAACTCAGGTGTAAATTTAGACTTTAGCTACTATAAAGTTGCAACAGTTTGAGACGTGGGAGTTTATCCCTCAGCAGTTTAAGTCATTACAACCTCTTTGCTACAGGTTGGAACTTTAGCCCCGAACAATGAACCTGGAGAGCTGATGGAAAAGCCATCTATACTGAGACTGGTTTTATTGCTTTCCAGGCCTGCTTTCCCCCCTATGAGGTAATTTTGGAGGAATGTCCCAGAGAGTAAAGTAAAAGTCAGGTCAGAGTACTTGACCTGTTTGTTTTGAGCCTAACTCTTGCAACTTTCCTTTTTTGGAAACAAAGCTAAGAAGCTTAAATTTCTTGACTCCCGACTTTACTAGTGCGCTAACATCGAGCTTGTAAAAGAACAGTGCTTGTGTCAGCACCCACAGTGTGTATCAAATGAATGTAAGACCTGTCTTGGGGGAAGCCTTCATTGAGGTTGTAAAATTGAGTCACTGACTTGTAGGTGAGGGTACTGTAAGCACTGGCTAAAATCGCTCTGTTTCATATTTTACACACTGACTAGGTTCATAGTAGTGTGTGAAATATAACAGCTTAGCCTTGTGATAATATACCTAGAAATAAATCCTCCCCAGTTAACAATTTGGTTTAATTCCCGGTAATAAATAAAATAGAGAACATGCATCTCTAGAGTCTTAAAATAAGTCCACAGAAGAAGTGCAGACTGCTTCTGCTGATATCACAGAGAGTGGGTTTTACAGTAGTTTGGCCTGGGATGTTTTCACCAACCGTGGGCAGTTCGCAGAGTAGCTGTTTTTCATTAAATTTAAGTCGGATCGTTTGTCATAAACTCAACGGCGCAACAAATTTGCAAAAAGGATGGCAAGGCATAAGGAAAAGCTGTGTTAATACTTCGTGTTGTTAACCAGATGAGATCAAAGAGGCAAACGGTACATGCTGTAACAGCTCAGTTCTGATAAGTCAGTCTGGTATAGGTACTGCTGTTTATTCAAAGGGGGCAATGCATAAGTACTTAAATGCATCATGTAAATGTGCCAGATTTAGCCACACAGGCTAAATTTCACATTTTCATATCTAAAATAAAAGACATACCCACATAACACTGAAAACACCTATGTTACGCACTATGACAAAAACATCAGATTTATTGAATTTTACCGTACTGTGAAGAATTATATGCCCATTTTATCTAATGTTTTAATATCCAGTTGGTGCTGCTCAAAAACCCCACTCCTCTCCAAGTGGGATCTCACCGAGGCTCGGCATTTTTTTTGGCCTCTTCAGCTTTGATTTTTCTCTCTCTGTTTACTATAAAAGCTCGTGTGATCACCGGCCGTTGGTTTATATTTACTGTGGCAACGGATAAGCTCCATCCTGACTGTCAACGTCTGAAAGTCTGAACACGATGTTGTCTCCAGTCGTTGTATGTTTTCATGTTTATGGAGAGGAGGACTGTTGTAATCACTCAGGCCAGAAGTTTTTAAAAGAAGTCAGCTGTTTATACCAAGTATTTGGATAAAGTCTGATCACTAATGACATTGACCGGTTTTGACTTTATTTACTAAATACTCCTAGAAAAATGTTGTGCCTCTACTTCAGTGCATTTCTGAAGCGAGGAGTAATGAGTTATAGAAACAAAGATCACTTCCACTTAAACTCGTGACGTCACGTGTCAAAGGATTTCAGCTTCTTATGGCCTCTGTCTTCATTTGTAGGTAGAGCAGAGCTCTAAACTTACACTGCGATTCTTTGAATAGTTAAGTGATTTCCTAAACTTGGGATGTGAGATGTGGCAAAAACAAATATTAAAATTAAGCTGATTAGTCAAATATGCCACAAAGAGTTTCTCCATTTTCAGGGGATATTGTGTGTGGCGCTTACAAGTGCTAACCGTGCTATATGAGAAGGTTGATGAAATATTTTAGGCTTTAGGTTGCTAACTTTTTTTTAAGAAATTGCAACATAATTACCCGAATGTGCTGATTTATTGCCCACAGCTGACTTCCATTTGTCATTCTTTTTTGGTTGTTTATCGCTCTGGTCACTCGCTGCTACGTGTCATTTGCAACAACAAAGAAACAGCAGAGCGGTTGCAGTTCGTTGCCATGGACAGGATTTCATACAACACCCATGAACGGTTATGTCTCATACTAGAGCCATGAGTCTTTGTTGGCTCTGTCCGTGTTGTAAAATGTGGAGAGGACAAGCTAAATATAAATGTGTATTGGATTTCAAGAAGCACGAAATAGACGGTGCTGAGAGGAAAGCCGGAGAGCACACCGTGGCTGGTCCCATGGCACCGTCTGTGATGGATGGCTGTCAGCCCCTCCAGTGCCACCCCATTTCCTGGGGTCACACCACTGGAGGTCATGTCTCTCTGGAAGTCAGCCACCAGAACTCTCAGCCCCATGACGGGAAAAGCTCCGATACATCTTTGAAACTCATAAACTGTCGAATAGAGCCAAAGCAACAAAATGTAAATGTTGCACTAAATGGCTGCCAAGACAAACAGTGTCTTCGTGGTTTTTTCCAAGACTTCTTCTTGAAAATATACAACATTGACTGACTCTCAGATGTGGTATAGCGTGTCTTTATTGGAACCATATAAGGCCCATTCTTTTCTTATGAGGTAATTCTGTTTGCAGTTATATGGGGGGGGTGTATCCAGTGATGTCACCCCGTAATTTACCCTATGCTCTCTTCACAGATTTGCTGATGGTCTATGTAGTGTCTGACTTCTCATCAGAGGCAGGAAATGACCAGTTATGGCTGCAACTGTTGCTGCATAAGAAGAGTCCTTAAAGACTTCATTAGTTCTTTTTAAAGCACAGCGACACATGTTCAGCTCTTACTTAACTAAATGATTTAAAAGAAGTTGGTACCGTCTAAAATATGAGAGTAGCTTTTTCAAATCATTATGCAACCGGTTGTTCAGAGTCATAACCACTTTTTCCCCATAGACGCTGAACGGAAGACTCTCGGCTTATCCTGAACCTCTTTGTTGCAAAGCTATTTATAATGCTGATATTTCCATTTCGTCCCGTTCCAGGCTGTAGATGAAATGAATGGAGCGTCGCACTCTGCCAGCTGCAGCTTGCTGGTGTTGATTGCACTGAATATGTGTAATAAAGTCAACTCTGAAATTGGAAAGCACCAAGTGTCTACAGACTGGGGACCAGATGTCAAAAACACCTAACATGAACAGCGTGACCTTTTAAAAAGTCATTTCACAAGTGTGTGATTACAGGCGTGGAGCAGAGAGGCATCTGGTTGATAACGAGGGAGTTTTTCCTCCTCACTGTCTCCAAGCGCCTGCTCACAGAGGGTCGTCTGATTGATGGGGCTTCTTTCTCATATTGTAGCATCTTTGCCTTTATGATATAAAGGTCACCAAGGCAACTGTTGTTGTGATTTGGAGCAATGTAAGTAAAACCGAATTGAACTGACCTATGCTCATATTGGTAAAGTATCTTATATATTATAGCAATATGGAATGTAGTTTGTAAAATTAACAAAACGTATGTGTTATGTCTTACTCAGGGAGTAAATCTTGATTTGCAGTCACACGTCTAAGCAACTATATTTCTGTAACCAAAACACTAAAACTTGCAATGTAGCATGTGAGTTGTTGCAGGGCTTTGGCTGAGGGGGGGTTCATCTCAGCGTTACTGCCTCTGGTTTGGGGCTGTAAAGCACTTCTTTAGTATCAGTCCTACACAGCATGGGGTGTGTCTAAAAGTCATTGCTGGAGCAAAATTGACAATTACCTATCCTGTCAGGGCTGTAGATCTAAGCAGAGTGATTAGGTAACAACTGTGGGTCTGACCTCACTAATGGTGCAGACACAAAATATCCTGAGGGAGCAAAGAGTGCTTGTGCCGCCAACTATTTAAACTGGCGGGGGTTGCAAGTAAAATAAAAGTCTTTTTATCTGGAGCTTTAAACTAGATATCTACACACAGCAGAGACCTTTCTCTCTGCTCACTATCGAGGGGCATACCTGGCTATCTAAGTACTCGATTTATCATGACAAGAGTTCTGTTGTTAAAAAGTCTTATTGTTGCCTGCTGTTGCTGAATGTGGCATTAATGAGAGTAGTGCGGTTGAGCTGGAAGAGCTGAGCTGAAAGGCTGTAGAGAATAGCACAGAGGGCTCATAATTATCACTGGATTTCTCACAGTGAGTTACAGCAGTTACATCATTTATTACTATATTGATTATAGCAGCTTTATAAGTCTCAATGTCTTTGTGTAATTCTCTATAATTATGTAGTTATAGCGGTTACTGAATTATGCGCAATTAAAACAACAAAATTCAGTTTGTGCACGTTACTACTCTTAGTGGTGTGCTGCGTTGCTTTATTTTGCTTGGACCTCTTCGTGCAAGTGGTTATATAAGAGTTTTATTCAATTGAGCCTGGAAAGTCTTTTTTCTAAGAAGAAATGTGAATGTGAGGAAGAAGAAAATCTGGCGTCTGATGTCCTGCTATAATGCCAGGACTGATGTGAATGACATTAAATGTCGAATCGAACCCAAAACAGTAGCTTTGAGACTTTTGTGTAAGAGTGTGTATGTGGTGGTCCTATTTCCTTCTGTAGCAAAAAAATGTTTGATTTGGTACAACGCCCCCCACTCCCGCTCCCATCTGCAGTCCCGTGGAGTAATGGAAGGAAGCGGGGCTTGGCTGGCAGATTGGGTAGCAGGATGGATGGAACTACTGTGGTGAACTCTGTGGGGATGAAGTCAGTGTCTGGCTCGCATTAAATCTTTACCAGACACATTCAGTCAACCAACAGCTAGATTCCAGCCAACATGCTTAGAACACATGAAGGTGTTAGCCTAGATCAAGACAAGCTGATGTCTCTGTTGCATGTGTTGGAGGAGCGCTGCAGGTGGCTGGAAGAGTGTCCCAGTAATGATTTCACTGGCTATTCTACAGAGAGCCATGTGATGTCTTATACAGCGCTGTAAAAGGTAAAGACCAGTTCAAAACTTACTAATGTTCTTGGCAAGCTGTTCACTGACGTGTGCAGGAAATATTGTCAAGCTAGTTGAAAAGAATGATGTCAACGAATATGCCACACAGCATTTGTGTTTTATTGCCCCGGCGAGAGGAGAGATGGCTTTGAGGGCTTCGCTGGTGCAGATTTGTAATGCAGGTCGGTGTGAGCTTGTAGACATGTCTGACACGTCTGCCTGAGATATCAGCCTCTGATCATAGTTAGCCTTTTTTCCATGCAAAAAATAAACATATAAATAAATAAATAAACATTTTATCCTTTTTCACAACCGCCTTAGTGAGAGAAAGTTCACTTAGCACCACAAAAATTAAGCTAAAATGTGTGAGTGCACGTGCATTATAAATAACCTTTTAAATACAAAATTACCCAAATTATTATTTATGGACCATGTCTGCATTATTCCACACTTACCTATTTTCCTCTGGCTTACTTTCATAAAGATTTTCTTTTTTTATGTATGTATGTTCAACTGCTGCTATGGCAACAAGTAAATATTGCCATGTCATGCTTTTCATCTGTGCACAAGTGGTTTCCAGGAGGACACAGGGTAATGTTATGGTTAATACTATACTGCGTATGTATGTTGATTATCACATTTATTGGCAGCACAGCTGTATGGAGCAAGAAACTTAAAATGTCATCTGGAAAATAGATTTCAATTTTATAAATTGGTCTCCACACTTGAGTGCTATGCTGACAAAGTATGTGCTAACAAAATGCATTAATGGCTCTCAAGCATGTTGCCAGCATCTTTATATTCACGCAGTTACTGCAGTGTGCAGCATGATTACATTTGCATTAGTTGGGCCTTTGGTGACCCTCATCCTCTGTTTCAACTTCATGTACTGATTCGGTGCCAGACAATCTGCTCTAAACTTCACATTTTAAGATGTCTAACAATAATGATGAATATGCAAGAAATACTCAGTGTTTGGCGAATTGGCTCAGACTACACTTTTGCTCATGGACATCCTCCATTACGCTTTTACCAGTAGTTCAGTCGCCACTTCATAGTATTACTCAGTCTCTCCACAGATGCTGGTGACCATATGAATGTTGGACATTAGTCATATTCCTTACTGGTTTGGATTCCAGTTGTGTCTGATGTTAAATAAAAGGGTGTCATTGAAAAAAAGCAAAAAAAAACGTCTGGAAAACTTCTTGTACCAACTTTAATGGGTACAGGCTCTTTCAACACACACATGCTTTTCTTGCAAATTCTTGAGTTTTTCCTTCAATTACCAATGTTAAACAATCCAAAGTTACTTTAAAGGTATATTAAGCTATTTTTGAGGTTATTGAAAAGAAAAAATAATATTGTGCAAGGATAAAATGTATAAATGTAGAATTTTGTGGACCCCCATCCCCCTTACTTTAGAGTTTCCGGTCACAATGGACCAGTCAGTTTTAACAGCTCTTAAATTAACACAACAAACATTTTTCACCAACAAATTCAGTTCAATAGGTCGTTCAGTGGGTCTTTTATTTATTTGGTCATTCACTGGGCCATTCAGGGGGTCAGAGGCCGAAAGGGGTGGGGGGTGGATTCCCATTCATTTCCTATGGCGGACACTTTTGACCGGGAACACCACATATATAACAAAGTTGATTAAAAAGCACTCAAAATTCAATGAAAGAGGTGCTCGTTACTTTTATATGTTCAAGTTCATAGTGTGGAGGATGTCATAAGGCCTTGAAGCAATCAGATGTAAAACACAATATTTATGAGTGTTTTAATTTGTAAATCAGTCAGATTTAATCCGAACACGACAGGAAGGTTTCAAGAATACACAGGAACAGATTTGTGGAAACCGAGATGTTGTCCCATCATCTTAAACACAGTGGCCGAGATGGACATGGCCGTTCCACCTAAGTGCGTATTGAGTTTGTGGCGAGGGAACGGCCACATACGCGTAACCTGAAAAAAAAAAAAAAAAAAACAAGAAAAGGAGATAACTCACAGGTAAGAAAACAGAATTCAGTTGACTGCAAGCTGTTATCTACTGCCATCTGGTGGTGAGATTTTACACGCTCTACCTTTAATTATGAATGTTAGACTATTCAAGGCTACATGAATTGCATTAAATTTAGGTTTGAATCGGGAACACAGTAAAGCTGAAAATCATCTGAATACAAAATTTTGCAAGTCGTTAACTTTGCTGACAAAGCCAAACATTAAGCAAGTTCAACAATATGAGACATATACTGGTCAGCCTCTTCTGTTATTCCCTGATATCATTTGTAAAACTTTTCCGAGTCTCAGTCTGCTCACAAAAGAAGGACCAAGTTGAAAAGCTGAATCTGGCAAGTTTTTATTGAGCCAAGTTTTGGTCAGAAGAAAGCAACAATTCCTTATCTGCTTTCAGTCTTAGCCAGAGAAGCTCTAATTTATTGTCCATGAAGCTAAAGCTGGCTCAGTCAGTGTACCATAAAAAGTACTTTGAGTGTAATATTTGGAGGTAAAATGGTAGCATATTATTGCCTTAACTCTTCTGTTGCCATTTCTGGACAGTTGAACTAGATATAAAAACACAGCATTGACACATTATCAGCTTATAAAAAAAATGTATTATGAAACCAGTGCTTGCTCGCACACCCTACACATGGCGAGAAATGTGAAATATTAAAACCACTTGTCTAATATTGTGTAGCGCTCCCTCATCCCTACAAAACAGCTCTTTTACCACCGTTGCACTGATGAGGAACCTCCTGTGTCCTGTGGTGTCTGGAGCCATTCCTCCTTTGTTTTATAGCAAAGTTTGAAAAGGAGTTTATTTTTGTGGTACACATATAAGTAACATCCACAAGAAATCCAGAGAGACTGCCCAAGAGGATCAATGCTCCTTATTTCTCACGTCAGTGGTTTTAATATCTGACATTCATCCTCCTATTAACTGCGTTTTTATTCCACTGACTTCTGAGAAAATCTCTTTATCAACTAAATATCCCAGTGTGTTCACCAGATGCTAACTTTCTCAGTATACTGATGCTCAACAGGTAGTTTGAAATACATCTATCATTGGATTTTTTTGAATAAAACCAGCTGCCTGCATCTGGAAAAGAGAGCTTAAAGACTCAAAAGAAAAGCTCTGCAAGAGCTTGAGAGTTGAATAATAATTCTTTGTGAGTTCATCATGAGCTAAACCCTTCATATCACACACTGTCATTTTTGTTTAAAATATGGACTACTTCAGCACTTTTTTTTTTGGTCTTTTTAAATATTTTTCAGGATGTGAAAGTTTTCTGAGTGATTAAACAGCGGCTGATTTGTGCGTGAAGCAGAATCTAGGACAAAGTGAAATGTTTGACAAGAGTTTGACTCGAAGAATTCTTTTGTTTGCAGGTTTAATTTGTTAATTATGGTTATGCTCCGAGCTTCATTGCTTATACCTACTAATAGGCAGCAGTGTTGTGCTCATTAGCGAGTGGAGCACAGCAAGTCCCCATTTCTCCTGACATCCTGACTGTGTAAAGCAGTAGGGGAGATGGTACTGGTAGCCATCGCTCAGACGTAAGCATTCATTCCCACTAATACTTTGTGTTTTATAGAAAAGGGAAAACAGCCTTCAGTCTGCCTTACAGCGCTTTTTTTTTTTACATGTGTTACAGGGAATTAGTGATACTTAATGAAGGATAAGCTTCCAAGTTTGTGTGCAGTCCTGCTGTTTTTCTCTGAAAGAAATGGGAGAAGGAAATGTAATTTTTTCTCATTTTAATGCTATTTTTAATTATTTGCTACCACTGCTCGTTCTATTTACACATATCTGTTAAAAAATTCCAGTGGTAGCACTGATTTAGTTATTGCCCATGCTTCAGAAATATTAAAGACGCAGCGCAGATGGTTTTAATTAGCCTGGCATGCACCATAGTCAAAAAGAATTAAGTTTAATGCGTGTTTGTTTAGAAACTCGAGCAGCATGGAACATAATGGGACAGTATTCACAGACCTGCATTTATTTTAAAAAGGAAACATTTTTACCTAATAGTAATGTTAGTATTGCTACATGACAGGTTTTGGCTTTAACAGAGTGCTCCAACATTATTTCAGCAGATCAATTCTCTTGTAAATGTTGCAACAAATACTAAATCTTCACAAACGCCATCAGCTTTGTATTCACTAGTTATTCCTAACATGCAGTCACGGCTAATGAGCACATCATAGAAAACAACCTGAGGCAACTGCACACACACACAGCACTGAAGCATCAACAAACACGCTTCCCCGGTACAGCGCAGGCCAGCTTTCCTTGACCTTCTCTATTACTCATTTCGGGGAAATGAACAGCAAAGAACTGGGTTCTGTATTCCAGATGAGCACATCATAGGTTTCAGGAGAAACCGTGTACGATGTGGGGGGGGCTAATATAAACATCTCTCCTGTAAAGTTCGAGCTGCCCAGTGCGATTTGGGTTTTGTCAGTTATGACCAGCAGCTCAACATCTGAGATTAATGACGCTAAGAGAGCACCGTTACCCAGCAGCGAGGACTTTAGAGATCACCCGCGAGTGGATCTTTTTAAAAACGGGCTAAATCCTGCTCCATCTACAGAGCAGCTGAGGTATTACCTCAGGCAACGGCTATTTACTGGAGATTTCCTGTTTTCCAAAGTGAAGAATCTATGATTCATATGACTTCCTGGTTTTGATTAAAGCGCTAAAAGATTCTTGATTTAAAGCATATTTTTGTCCAGAGCAAATTTTATGTTGCAGATTAAAAAACAAAACAAAAAAAAGCAGGAAGTTTCTTGGTGTTGGGCTATCACGTGGTGTTAGAACAGCTTTACTGTGTTGGCAATGGCATTGACTCTACTGAAGGGATGGTTGAGATCTGGCCACTGTGAAGCTGATGATCTAAATCATGACCCATCATGGCCTGTAGATGGGGATGTTGTCATTCTGGAAGAGATCACTCTTATGAGTACAGAAGTATTGTTTTGCAACAATGTAATAATTGTGATTAATTTTGTATTGGTCGGACTCTAATGTGTTATCCCTGTGTATATCCTGTTAGATTTGACCCCTTTCTGATTGAAATATAAAACTGCTTTTTTTAGATGTAAAAAATCCAGGTTAAATAAAGGTCTGGACTGAGATCACCAAAAAGGAATAATGATATAACAAGATTAAGCTCAAACACTCAAAGTTCTTCTTGCCCCATTAAAGGGAGGATTTTCTTAGTATGGTCCCCAAAGTTAAAGTTTGTTTTTTGAGTTTTTCTTCTTCAACAGAAGATAATTAAAACTACGGTGGTACGGCAGTAAGATAGACAAAAACAAAATTGTGGTCCATTTTATTTCTGTGGATATTTGACATTCATTTACAGCAACAGGGACATACTGTACTTAAACTGCACTTTATGGTTTTCAGGTTATGTTCCTTTTCAGATTTGTACAACAGCGGCACATATTTGACTACTGAACACCATCGATAACTTTCAATACAGTGCTCTGTACAGTGGTGTGAAAGCAGGAGAGGCATGCTAGTTTGTAGCGCCACGCTGGAGAAAATGTAAGTGCAGTCCAACTGTGCTTCATTATTTGTTAATAACTATATTACCTTTGTAAAATCAGCACCAATCACATCGCTTGTAATGGTATCGCCAAAATACATTCAGAATAGCACCTTTACAATTTACGTGACAACAAAACGTAAGAAAAGAGTACAAAAATATTAAGATAGATGAAAGACTGTTGTTAGCTAGTTACAATGTGCCATTACAATGCCAGTAGATCCTTAATAAGTCAAACTCTCTGTGACAGGAAGTTTTATTAACCAGTGATGTGTTCAAATTCCTTAAATAAATTAAAATAATAGGGGTAACATTGTACAGTTTCGTAGCTGTGATAGTAGCTTAGCAGCAGGCTTGTATTTCCATGCTGCAAACATGTTTTTATATGAAAAGGAATTTTTCCCAGTAATAGAAATGCAACACTTTAAACTAACATACAAAATGTTTGATAGAAGAACATAAAAAAAAAGTTCCTGATACATTCTGAATTTTCAGATGTGAATTAGATGCTCTCTGCATTTTTTAACCCCAAAGAGGGTGCAGGGTAATGAAATGAACTTCAGATGTCTTCCGAACAGGATGTTCTGCTCTGTGATCAAAAGATCCCACAGAAGCCAAGATTTGGAACAGGACTTTTCCTGCTATGATTCAGTCGCAAGTCAAGATACACAATAATTATCCACTTGCTAACATCCTGGGGGGGCAGAGTCATGTGGAAAGCAGCATGGACGATCAGTAGGGGTAGGGTGAGATGGAAATGTAGATGATAAAGATGCTCTGGTAGGTAATGCGGCCTTGCAGCGATATAGTGGTGGCCTGCACTTTGAGCCTCACTAGTCCAGGTCTGTCCAGAACCTGCAGGGTGTAGATGATCCCTCTGCCGGCCTCATCTCTGATACCGAACACCTGCCCCAGCCCGCCTGCCTCCGGTTCTTGCTCAAGTATTGTAAAGGATGTGCGCTCCTGCAGGATGCCAGACTCTGAGAAAGCTGACAGTCGTACCACGTTGTGATTGGCTGGAATGCCGGAGGGAAGAGTGAGCAGCTTGTACTGCAGGAGCAGAGGAGAGCCTCCGGTGGCGCAATCCAGCAAGCAAGGCCTGTAACAGGTCCTTTAAAAGTCGTCCGGAAAAAAAAAAAATTTATTAATTCATATAATGAACATAATTTTGCATTTGTGTGGTATCTACAACTTAATTAATAACCCTGTATAACACTTATTAATGTTGCAAATTACCCGGGTCTTCTTCCACTCTGGTAGGATGCAGGGCAGGGTGTATCCAGACACTGGTATCCTCCTCGGGTGTTAAAACACATCTGGTTGCGTCCACACTGGATGCCTTGTTCTACACACTCATCAATGTCTAAGAGAAAGAGAGGGGATAAGTATATAGCTGTAATAATTTGAGGGGAAGGTGGAAGTTTTAAAACAGTTTAAGGAGACATTTACCTTTACAGCTTCGGCCGTTGGGTAGCAGCTGGTATCCAGGGGGACACAGGCACTGGAAACTACCAATCGTATTTCGGCATTCATGTTGGCACGGTTTCTTGAGGAGGCACTCGTCCACATCTGTAAGTGGAAAACAACAGAACATTGTTTGGGCTTATATTGTAAGAATCCTTTGTTATTTTACATCTTTTGGAGTCTTTTTGATTTCAACTTACCAACACACTTGCCGTCTCTGTTGGTGTACCCGACAGGACAGCTCTGCCTGGTGATGCGAGATACTCCATGGGAACGGGAGAGGATTGGCCTGCCGAGGGATGACACCAGCTGTGGGACGAGTCTCGCCCTGACTCTGGTTCCGTTTGTGAAGGTGTGCCCTCTCTCAAGCCCTGCGCAGGAGCGCCCATCGCCGAGTAGCACTGTCCCAGGGGGGCACAGACACCTGAAGCTGCCCGGCACATTGCGGCACTGATAGGCGCAGGGATTTGGCGTTTGCAGACACTCATCGATGTCTGGAAATGAAAAACAAAATTTAAGTAGTGATTTGTGCTTCCGTTGGGGTTTTTTGTTAAACAAACGTAATAATTACCCAAACATGGAAGCCCAACTCCCTGAGATCGATAGCCTCTGGGACACACGCATCCATAACCTCCGACTGTGTTTCGACAGATCTGAGTGTAGCGACACATGTGACTTCCATCCTGGCATTCGTCAATATCTGAAAAATGTCCAGATCAAAAAAGGATGATTTTCACACAGTCATATCCAGTGTTGGGTAAGTTACTTTAAAATAGTAACTTAGTTACATTACTAATTACTTCTCTCAAAAGTAACTGTTACTTCAAGTTACTCGTTACTTTCAAAGTAACTAGTTACCAAGGAAAGTAACTTTGGTTTTACTCAGACTTCTCTTGTTAATGTGTTGCTTCCATAACTTTGCCAGTCTTCTAGCTTGCTTACTTGCCAGAGTGCACTGTGCCACCTACCAATAGAAAGGAAAAGATAATGTGCACATTTCCACGAGAGAAATCCCACGCCTGGACCGTCATTGACTGCTGCCATGATTCTAGCCTACGTCACAGCGTCATGTGCGCCTTTTACATCCAACACGAAAACTGCAGTCGTGGTGCTTTGATTGTACTCAGAACTCGGAAATTCTGCCTTCTGAATAGGAAGATGTAGGTAACACCAGACTGCAGATGAGCTGCATACAGAGCTGGACTGGGACAGAAAATTGGCCCGGGCGTTTTGACTAGAGACTGGCCACCATTATAGGAAAAATCATAAAGCCTTTGAATGAAAATAAACACTGTTGTGACAGTGATGTTCACTGTTCTGATGGTATATATGCATCAATCTATCAATCGTTTGTTGTAAGATTCAGATAATTATTTAATAAAAGCTAGACATTTTAAATGAGAATAAGAAAGAAAAGTATTTCTTTGTGCCCCCCTCTCCTTGTTAATGCCCTACATGCCCCCCTGGCAACACTTTGCTAGACCGGCCCCTGCACAGTTACCAGCTGTCAGCTACATAAAAAAGGATCCTGGTGTTATTTGTCTCTCAGAAACAGTTCATAACTTCAACTCATTCATGTCACCTAAAAGGTAAACCTGTTTCTCCATCACAGCTCTGATGGTTCAGTAAGGACATCTCCTGGTTTCATCTTCATGTTTCCCTCTCACCACATCTCCAAACCGACATCATGACCAGCAGCTTTACAGCTGTGGCTCCAGCAAACATCAGCTGATACTAGAAATTAATATTAAATAAATTCTAACAACAGCTGATCAAGCTTAAACGTGCTGCTGTTGTTTAGCGCGACATCCGTTGGTTTCCTCTTTCTGGCGCAAAGTGAGCGATAAACAAACAAGGGAGCCGATCAGCTGATCATTGATCAGTTTTCATGATTGAAGTAGAAACGGGAGAGGGAGGGGGGAGAATGAAAGAAGAAGAGGCAGCTGTGCAGCGTAAACACAGAATAACTCCAGCTTTGTGTCTTTTTCATTGTAGCTGAATTACGGGACAAACTGTTCCTTTTCACCTCAATAAGAAACGCATAATATTTTCTCTGAATACCAGACGGGACGGTTGGCAACTCTAATAACTTATGAACAAAATAAAGTTCAACATCATTAACTTCACAGCACCACCCAGCTGTATAGAAACTCCGTCATGCTAGCTAGCACGCAGTACGAAAAAGTCAGAATAACGAAAATAAACTCCACCTAAACTTGGTTCATATCTGACCCAGAGAGACTGCAGGTCAGAACTTCTTACCTGAAGTTCAGTTCACACTTGGACCTGCGGCCGCCTCGGGCCTCTCCTCCTCCTGCCTCCCCTTTCCTTCATCCAGCTGCTGGCCTCCACCACTTGCTAATGTTACTGAATCTGTGGAAGCTCCGCGATGCCACCACACGAAGTAACGAGTAACGAGCCCATCTAAATCCCAGTAACGACTAACGCGTTCCTGATTTTGGCACAATAACTAGTTACCGTGCTCGTTACCACAATAATAACGTAGTTACTGTAACGCGTTACTTAATAACGCGTTAGTCCCAACACTGGTCATATCCAGCTATACCTTAACGATAGATTAAGGTTAATGGTTATATTGACAAAACCGATAACTTTAGTTTGCTTTTCCTCACTTTGGCTAAATAAAGGTTGATTTAAGCCTGGATTATGCATCTTGTTCTTGTTGTATTTTTCCTGAAATTATCATTTTCTCTTTATTAAGAAAAAAAAAAAGACCCCTTTACACACGCCTGTGTTTAGTGATTGCTCCTACACTGCAAACACTGCCTCTTTTACGTGAGTGCACTTGGCTAGATTGGGACGACCTGAGCTAATATGTGTGTTAATGCTGACTGCGATTGCTGACATGAAGCCAGTTAAAGAGAAGATATCCTGAGTACCTTAAAGCTGCCGTGCAGCAGTGTCTACCATAAACTCTGCTGCATCTTGTTACAGAAGTTTTCTTTTCGCAGCAGTGGATTTACAGTTCATAAAATCTTTTGCTCTCTATTTGGCCTCTTTTGACCAGTGATCAGTGGTTCTTTTGGCTTTCAAAAGGATTACAGGGGGTTTCATTTCCACTTATTAGGAAAACCATTTTAGCAAATTCACGATACAGTGTTGAAGGGTTGGAGGTAGAAGCCAAATCTGAGTCTTTCAAGGCATGAATGAGTTCATGCTGTCAGTCAATAAATTAAGCAGTGATTAATGAACAGGAACTGTTAAATGAAGCAATGTCTAAATAAATAAAGTGGATAAAAGCAGCTTACCCACGCAGGCCCCATTCTCTGCTTTGGTCATTCCAGCTGGGCAGCTGTCGAAACACTGGTATCCTCCTTCTGTGTTACGGCACTGCTGGTGAGCCGGGCATACGTTTCTCGTGCATTCATTGATGTCTGCAAAAGTTAAACCGTCACATCGGAGCTGTTAGTAAATATTCTGCAGGGCCCGCATTACTGTGGATGCTGTATCAATGGAAAATACATCCAAGGGGAATAAACAGGCTTTTCAACATTATAAGTATAAGAAGCAGCGTTACAACAAAGAACACAAACTGAACACAAACTTCCTTATATTTTGTGCTAAGTTTGTATATAAAAAAATGCAGTTGGGTGTAGTCTTATCTTTTGAAATCTTCTGTAGCATAACTTAATAAGAATTCAAACAAGTTAAGGCAGGCAGGTAGTTTTTGTTCTTTTTATCTCAACTGACCAATGCAGTGACGTCCTGACAGCTGGTATCCAGGGTGGCAAACACAGCGGTAGGAACCCAGAGTATTGAGGCACTGGTGCTGGCACGGGGAGACAGCGGACTCTTGGCACTCATCTACATCTAAAAGACCAATTCGACACATACAGCAGGGCTTTATCGCTGATTAACACTTAAGTGATTGGCAAGAAATGAGATTTTTATTATTGTTGCAGGTGCAAATATAATAAAATATTACACGAACAGGAAAATAATGAGACGTTTATGCCTCCATATGAAATGCTGGACATTTTAACAGTGATTAACAGCTGCTTGCCTTCACAGCTGGTTCCTGTGATGCTGGCCTTAAATCCTGGTCCACACTTGGCCTGGCAGCGATACGTTCCCACTGTGTTGACACACTGCTGGTTGTAGTGGCACATGTGTGAGCCTTGGGAACATTCATCGATATCTGCATGAGGGAAACAGTTAGTGAGATCATTTTAGATTTACTGAAGTAGGACATTATCTCTGTGCACTGTGTATTGTAATATTGGATATTGCAAAAAAATCACCCAGCAACTTTTCTTTGTCTTACCTTGGCATACATTGGTGTCTGCAGAAATGGTGAAGCCAGACGGACAGGTACAGGAAAAGCCTCCCATAATGTTGTTACACGAATGAGAGCAGGGAGACTGGAGCGCACACTCATCTTCATCTAATAAGAATGCATTTGATGATAATAATAAAATAGAACAGTCACAAATGTTCAAATAAATGGTGTTAAAAATGATTGAGGTATTAAAAAATAAGCACAGCATACCAGCACAGTAGGAGGTGGTGTCAAGAGTGAAACCTTTAGGGCATGCGTCTTCATAACCATCTGCAAACACAGAGTACATGCAATGTTAGGCTTTCCAACAGATCCTGGATTTCATGTAAAATCGAGTTTAAATTGCTGGAATTTTTTAATATTTTTGCAGACCTGGTACGTGTAGGCTGGCAGTAACATGGAAGTCCAAAGTGAGCGTAAACATGTTGTAGGCACTATTCATCCCAGAAACCTTGAGCAGTTGAAGCACAGGACCCTGGCGCTCTTCCTGGCCCTCGTAAATAATTGTGTGATTACAACGCAGCACCATGGGGCTTCCTCCTCTCTGGTGGGTTTGCGTTGACCACGAGTACAGCTGCCCTTGGCCCGTCTGCACATATGACTCATCGAACTCCTACGGGGCAGGAGTGAAATCGGGTCACACAAACTAAAGAGGATTGGAGGTGTGAAACTAAAGTGTCATGTCTTTTTTTTTTTTAGAAAAAAAAAAAAAAAAAAAAAAAAAAAGAAACTAAAGTGTCATGTCTTTAAGTCAGGATTTGATCTGAATGATCTTTGAATACACATTGCGATGAAAGCTGTGAACACACCTGAAGGCTCATGTGAGATGATGATAATGAAGGAGGAACAAATCCGTTAATTACTATGTCAATTAGCAAAACACCCTCCGAATCCAGACCTCTGGCAACATGAGTCAAACGTAGGATTTCCCCTGTTAGAAGAGATTAAAAAACCAAAAAACATAACACTGTAAATCCACTTAAAACCACAAGGGGGCTGCTGTAACTGCTTAGAAGCACAAGCCTCCATGTTCAATGTATGTGACTGCTAGTAAGTGCTGCCATCTACTGACTGTTTTACAAAAGAGCGCATAATGGACATGAAAAACTCAACATTTGTTGTTGTTCCTGTAAAATCACACCACAGTTTAGAAGAAACTAAACAGAAATAAAAAGAGTTGAACAAAACTTATCTTAAGCCGAGTACTTTCATCGATTAAATATGCAGTGCATGACCTTAAATAAATGAATCAAAAGCTTTAAATATTAACTGGCATATGCACGGAAAACAAAGCAAAAATGTGTAGTAGGCAAAGCTCACCAGTCTCGAACTCCAGCTGAGACTCCTGTCTGAACTGGCCCTGAGTGAAAGCGTAGCCATTTCTGGCTGCTCCATTCTGCAGCACGGTGGTCCAGTAGATGGGTGCAAACACAGACACCAGCACCCGCAGCAAGGGACCTACAACAAGACAGCATTAGCTCTGTGCCTCTGCTGCTCTGCTACACATCAACATGTGATTTGAACAAGATTGGGAATGCATCCCCAAGAATTCAACTCTTTCTAGTAAAATTCAGCGTGACCACTGTTTAATGAAGTGGTAACTGTTAGGTATGAGGCTGAGGTCAACAGCAACCAATGGTACACAATGGTACATGCCATCACTCACCCACAGTGGGAGGAATATTGTCAAGGCGTGCCTGCACAGTGCTGCTCCCCTCGTCATCATTGTCTGTAATGTTGGCCTCCAGGTAGGACACACCAAACTCTCTGTCATTGACCATTCCTATCAGGCTGCCTCTAGTCCTGCGTGGAACCTCACCTGGCAGCACCAAAATACGTTTAAATAAGCTACATTAACTGAAATTCATTAATATCAGGTTGTCCTAAACGCTCCCTGAAAGTGTTTAAAGTTACTGACATGGACTGGAAAGAAAGAGCATACTTCTGTGTTAGACACCACTCCTCATTTAATTATTACTTATTATTAATCTCTGGCTTTCTTCCATATTGCGTCTCTTGTCCTGTCTTCCTCCCTTCACCCCCAACTGGTCACAACAGATGACTGCCCCTCCTTGAGCCTGGTTGTGCCGGAGGTTTCTTCCTGTTAAAAGGGAGTTTTTCCTTCCCACTGTCACCAAGCGCTTGGTTTTCTCTGTATTATTTTTAGTTCTTATGGTACTGAGCTAACTTGAGGGGACTGCTGTTGTGATTTGGCAGTGTATATATAAAATTGAATTGAAGGGTTGAATAATGAAATATTTTGTAGTTATTGGCAACGGCCAAGATTGCAAATACTGAGATAATATATTTTAATTTTCAAATTTCCTCATGCATTACACAGACATATTTTTTTGGAGGCATCAAAATGAATCGAAATGAATAACAAAGCCACTGGTACCTGGACACAAGCCGACCTGACATTTTCTAGAGTCGATACTGGGGCCGCTGCATGATCGGCCTCCATTAGCTGGTTCTGGGTTGTTGCATAGTCTGATTCGCTCTTGGAAGCCTTGGCCACAGGTGCTACTGCATGGTCCCCACTCCTGCCAGCTAGAGTAGCCTCCATTGACTAAGAGAGGAAGAGAAGAAAAGAATTTTCAACAGTGGGTCCTCAGGAAGTTCATTTGCACAGGTTATGTTGTGCAAACTTGCTGTTGTGCAAAGGAAAGGAGCACTTGCAACACATGAAAGCAACAGACATGAATAAGTGAACACGGGGGGAAACTAACATTTTAAAGTCGTTCTTAAAAGTGGATTGGAGGCAGTTTGGGAAGTACATTATGGTACAAACTTGTTTGAATTTTTTATTTCATAACCCGTTAAATAAATCATATAGACAGAACTCACTCTGAACCTTGAGCGTAATGGTCCTCTCAGCTGTTCCAGCCTCACTTTCAGCCACACACTGATACTCCCCTTCATCTGCAGCCTGTAGATCAACCAGGTTTAGCTGATTATCGAATTATCTAAGGAACAGTTATCCTTTAATAGGACTACAAACCTTCCAGACAAACATATCTCTGAATTGGGTACAGTTTTACAGTTTAGGGAAATTACCATACAAGCAAACAAAATCTGACATTTTCAATGGGGCAGTTGACTTTATTCCATTGAATTGTTTGTCATAATTAATATTACAGGGACAGAGAGAGGAAATTTCATAATAAGAGCACTCTGCTGGAAGGACAGTCATCTGTCTGTGAGAAAGTCTCAGCTGCAGGCTGTGCAATTACAGCAGCAGTTAGAGACCATAATAAGGTTAGAGGCTACGGAAAGAGGGGCAGAGTCTGGGAACATACAGCATTCTGTTTGTTTCTTCCCTCTGAGCCTAATGCTGTTAGCCTCTCCGGCTGAACTGAATCTGATTTAGATGGGAGCAGGACACTACAGGACAGTCACACGCTGTTCCTCTACCCAAGGGTATTGTAGATGAAGCTCAGATGGGATGAATAAAGCGCCGCTGTTCTACTCAGATTGCGTGATGGAGCCTTCTTGCGCAAACTACATCGGAAAATGTTTCATGCCAGAGTGAGCTAGGCTTGACAGAACTTGTTTAGAAGCAGGATTACTGCTCAAAAGAACAGAAATAGGAGGAGAAAAGAAAATGTTATATTTACAGTGGTGCTGTAAATGACCAGAGATCCGTTGTGGAGGGTTTGCATTCGGAGGAAGCGAGGTAGCGGTTTTCCATTTCTGAGCCAGCGGAGGACAGGGCTGGGGTCTCCGTGGACGGGACAGTCAAGCACAGCAGAGCCACCCTGAATGACTGTCTGAGACGTGTGGGCTTCACCCTTCAACACCGGAGGCTCTGGAAACACATAGCATGTGTATTTTCAGATAGAATGTGTCATAATGTAAATATCTATAGAAAGTTCAGTGAGCGGGAATCCTCGAGGATAAATCTCACCTCTGATACGGACGAACGAGAGCGCTCTAATGGAACCCACGCTGTTTGCTGCTATGCACACGTAGGTCCCAGCATCACTCCGAGTCACATTCTCAATGATGATGGAGCTTCTGCCTGCCTCATCTACAGTGGCACCTGCAACAGTTTTGCAGTTTTACACCACAGTTTTATTTTAAATTAGGCTTCTTTTTTTTTAAACTGAATGCATTACACATAATAACAAATACAGTAATCTGTGTGGCAATTATGAGCTGTTTAACTGAAGAAAAAAAGGAAAACACTACCTGCATAGGGACTGTTGTTGACAGTCCAGGAGATAGTAGGAGAAGGCGTTCCCTGAGCATGGCACGATAAGGCAAGAGTCTGCCCTTTGTTTAGCATTGCATCGCCTGGCAGCTCCTTGAATGCAGGCCTCATATTGATGGTCAGTCGGATGTCTTGCCTCGCAGAGCCTGCTGCATTGGTGGCTACGCATGTAAACACACCAGCGTCTCCTGACTGTTGAAGGAAAGAAGCAGCAGCTGAGTGTTGCACATGGAACTACAGAGAGATGCAGTTCATAATAAAGTGCAGAGAAAGCATGACATAGAGGCTAACCTCAGCCCTCTCTATGATCAGCTCTCCTGACCGTAAGACGGTGAATTTGCCAGGGAGGTTGGGCACCACGCTGCCGTCCTTCTCCCATGACACTTTAGGCTCTGGTGAACCCTGAGCAGCGCAGGGCAGCAGAGCCTGAAATCCTTGGATAACTGACAGTTGCGTCTGTGTAGGAGCAATCACGGGTGGGACTGAAAAGAGACACCACTATTAACACAAACATGTTACGACACAGCGCAGCTTGTAAAGTGCTTCACTCACCTTGAATGAGCAGCCTCATATCATGGCTGGCTCTGCCGGCGGGGTTTTTAGCAGTACACGTGTAAAGACCCGCGTCGCTGCGCTGGGTAGAAATAATTGCCAGAGTTCCATTGGAGAAGACGCGCACATGAGCGCCATCAAGCACAGGCCTCCTCTCTTTGTGCCAGGTGACTTCAGGCAGAGGCTGCCCATCAGCTATGCACTCCAGGCTGACTGGCTGGCCTAGCACAGCCATGTACTCGACATGAGGCACGCTCAACACTGGTGGAACTGCGGAAACATAAGATGAGCAGATATTTATTTGCAAATTTCCTAAAATGTATGTAATGTTTCATAAGATTATGAAACATTACATAATGTTATTCCCATGGTGAGATAAAAAAATCGGCATTACCTTGAAGGACTAATTTTGTCCGACCCACAGCTACACCAGCTTCATTCTTTGCCAGGCACTGATAGGTCCCTGCATCACCAAGCGTCACACGGGAAAACTTCAGAGCTCCGTTCGGGAGCACAGCCAGCCTGTGACCTAGACACACAGTCACATGAAAATTACTGGTCCACATGAGACAGGTCAAATTAAAGCCCACAGCATGATGACATTGCTGTCTTATCTGTAAAACGTTAAAACAAAACAAAGAAAAGATTCTTGTTGGAGTATGACTTAGTTGCTGTTAAATGTGTTGGATTCTAATATATGAAAACTGTGCATAATTACAGCAATGTTCATCTGTCTGTCTCTTCATAAATAAGGATTTGGCTCATATTTTTTGTACCGTTACCTGTTGCTATGGGAACTCCCTCTCTTTGCCAGGTGATGGATGGTCTGGGGAAGCCCTGAACCTCACAGGGGAGAAGAGTCCCGTGATTCAGCACTACTTGTACCTCTTCTGCCATTGGTCTGATCTCTGGCAGCTCTGTGTGTGGAAGACAGAACACAGTGTCATATGGTTTCATACATTTTAACATAAACATAATAAGATAACATATGTCCTTGGAGGCCTACCATGCACTGAGAGAGAGATGTGTTTGTGAGCCACTCCAGCTGGGTTTCTGGCTGAGCATGTATATTTGCCAGTATGACTGGGCAAAGCAGCAGTTATCTCCAACTCTCCTGCATTAAAGTGAGTACAAAGAACATGTGTTTACAGAGGACCGTGATGTATGAAAATGTAAGGAAACAGCAACTGGTGTGCTGCTTTACCAGTGGGAAGGATGCGGTAGCTTCCTCCTCTGGAGCTCAGTTTGGCTCCACCCTTCGTCCAGGTGACAGTGGGCATTGGGCGTCCTTGTATGTGACAAGGCAACACGACAGGAGACATTTTCACAGCTTTAACTGCCGTAACATCATCTTCAATAGATGGAGGGACTACGGGAGAGAACAGCAAATTTGTGGGCTGAATTATCTGAAACAGCATTCTACAGCCGGCTGATTTTCACAACACTTTAAATCAATACCTTGCAGGATGACCTCGATGACTCTGCGCTCCTCTCCAACATCATTGACTGCAGTGCACTCAAAATAACCTTCATCCTCATTGGCTGGGGACAAAAGAACCAGAGACCCTGAGGACAGTAACCTGAACAGATAAGCAGAACTGCATCAGCTTTGAAGTTTTTATAGCTGTACGAGTTGTACTGCATACCAATTGTGTATTTGAAGCGTACAGGCATAGCTTTGTCTATACCTGTATGCACCAGGCTGCTGGCTGATATCCAGGGGAGTGCCATTCCTCTTCCAGGATACTTTAGGAGAAGGTATACCTGCAGCCTCACAGCTAAGCAGGGCTCTGATACCAGTGGTTACTGTCACGTTGAATGGACCCGGACTGATTGAGGGACCCACTAAAAGGACACAGAAGACCTTCAGCTAAGCTGTTATAACAATAAAAAATTGTGCTAAAAACTGAATCTGCTGGCATCCCCAAAATCTTCATAAGCTAAGTACTGCTTATACTGTCTTTACCAAACACACGAAGATCCACTCCTCGGTGATCTGAGCCAGCCTGGTTGGACGCGGTGCAGTAGTAGCGACCAGCGTTATTCAGCTGAGCTGCATGTACGCGCAAAGAGCCCTCGGATAATATGGTGTATCTGAAATGCACGAAAGATGAATGAGTTGGGGATACACCGCGTCTGTGTTCGACAGATACAGTCGAGTGTGACGTATACAATTACAGACACCTGTGAGAAATCTCAGGACGTACTTATTGTTATCTTGACGCACGGGGAAGCCGTCTTTCCTCCACATGACCACAGGTGAGGAGTCGCCTTTGACTTCACAGGGTAAAACTGCATCCTGGCCAATATGTACAGTCACCACTGAGCTGCTCTCCTTTATTACAGGTGGTACTGGAAGTAAAGAGACAGAATCTTGTTGTGTTTAGCATATAAAACTCTTTTTTTCTCCCCAGACATGAATGTTGAACGACACACCAAACACTTATTTCCCTTAAAACCACCCTAAACGCACAAACAGTGGTTTCCCTTGAAACTTGCTTGAGTAGGTGGCTCTTTTTAAGCCTCTCTTCAAATGATGATGTTACATGTTACCACATGTTACTTCTAATTCTTTACTCAGCCTCCTAAATAAACTTCTTGAACTTTGCTCCAGCTACCCACCTACAGTCAACCTTTAATGGCAGCATTAAAAGTTGAAATACGACAGGGGAATTTCTCTTTCATCTCTATTAGTCCTCACACATATAAATATTTAGGAATCTGGATCACATGCAAGTACAAAGTTACTTACCACCTTTCTAAATTAATACAACACAGAGATTTGATTGGTTTCTCACAAAGTGATTGCACATGTCGCCCAAACTTTGTGCAAACAGTTGCAGTCTGTTGCAGACAGGTTGCCAACAGTCTGACTGAGTCTTTGTTAATGAGCAAAACTCAAGGGGACTCAACTCAACGGACTGCCAGTTGGTTGTATTTTAGTTTTATTCCTATACAGCAGGAATGCTGCTGAGGTCAAATATGTCATCTTTATCCCAGAGTTATCCCAGTTGATGTATTATCAGCTATAATAGTAAATATAACAGTATAGTAGAATAAAATAGAATAATAGTAGACTAACTCCATCTTATAGAAACATTTATGGCAGGTTTCAGTAGCAGTGTTGGTATATTTGACAACCTCATTATCCAGCAGGAAAAATGACTTGAGATAACTTTATCTTATTGGATAAAAAGTGTAACTTTGATAACATGATTAGCAGATGAAAAAGGGGATAAATCACAATATATGTGCAATATTCAGCACTCAGCACATCACACTAGTATTGCATTGTGAAGAACTGTGATAATATCATACTGTGGGGTGTCTGATCATTTCCACCTCGAACAATTAATTAGGCTTCTGTTCTATTGTACTGCAGAGCCTCAGCTACAACTAGCTACTCTTTGCATGTATCTATGACCTTCTTATGTAAGTTCAAAATAAGTCATGACAATGTATTAAAGTGACAGCTCTTTTAGCTCTTTTAAACATTTGTTTGTTTTTTCTAACAGGCATTTCAGAAACTAGTGGCTCCGTGGTGTAGTGGTTAACACATTTGCCTTACATGTAGGTCCCCGGTTTGACACCAGGAGGCGACAGAAACCCAGCCTCAGGGGCTCACGAGGTATCGTACTTGCATTTGTCTTATTCCAAGACTGGATCAATTAGAGCAGGGGTCCCCAATCCCAGTCCACAAGGGCCGTTGTCCCTGCAGGTTTTAGATCTCACCCTGGGTCAACACACCTGAATCACATGATTAGTTCAATACCAGGCCTCTGAAGAACTTCAAGACATGTTGAGAAGGTAATGTATCCATTTAAATCAGCTGTGATGGATCAAGGACACATCTAAAACCTGCAGGGACACCAGCCCTCGTGGACTGGGATTGGGGACCCCTGAATTAGAGGGTTACACCACAAAGGTCATCCACTGTTTGGGGTTTTTTTCCATCTGTGGCAAGTCAAAGCATCCAGATGTATTCACTGTGGCAACCCCTTGATAAATAGCAGCTCAGTGTGCCATTCATTCATAGCTCACTAACACTTTTACTACAAAACATTTTTAGAAGCAGCTCCATTGTCTGCAGTGTTTGGCATGACTCCAAAGAATGGAGTATACTTTGGTCTTTCACTCTCTCCTTGATAACTTGGACTGGTTACTAACTGCAGTAACTGGCAACTTGCTGAGTTAAATATTTGGTTGTCATGTGTTTATGTCTACGGTTCAAAAGTTCAACAGTTTAAAAACAAGATATGACAAGTATGCTTACAGAGAATTTCCACAGTGAAGAAGAGACTGCTGCTTCCAGCTATGTTGGTAACCACACAGCTATACTGGCCGCTATCCTCAGACCTGACTTCCTGTATCTCCAGGTACTGACCCCCTGCAAGCTGCTGGATACGACCACCCAGCTGATACAACAGAAGGAAAGGAAAGATAGAATACGCAAGTCAAAGAGGAGATCAATACTTTTAATAGTGGATGACTTATTTGAGTTCACATTCTGCACCTGCAGTTTGGTTTCACCCTTGTACCACTCTATGTGTGGAGGAGGGTCGCTGTCAGCCAGGCACTCCAGAGTGAGGTGACCGTTAACCGGCACTGTCAATGTCCTCACATCACCGGAGCCAAGGAGCGTTGGTGGTACTGCAACACAACCACTGACCATTAAGATTTATGTGATCCACAATAACAGCAACAAAAGGAAAGTAAAAGAAAAAAAAGTGCTGTGAGCCTGAAGTGCTCCTTCAGGAAGAGCTTGGTAAAGTTATGAGGCCGTGTGGAACAGATGAAGTCAGAATGTAGATCGGGGGTATAAAAAGCATGTGTTTTCACTTAAAAAAAGACATTACTAAAAAAAGTGCTATAAAAATGTGTGCCACACAGTTTTGAATCTTCTAGAAGAGTCTTAATTATAGGAATGGGGAAAAGAAACACCATGAATTTGGGAAAACACTGATCTAAGCAGTCTGGCAGGTCTTAACTGCATTGTGTATGATTATATTTATAGAAGCATCATTTTACTCAAATATTAACAAGTGGAATAAATGGTGAGTAGTGCACACTCATAAATTAAAGTCAGGCCATCAATAAAAACCCAAGAAAATGCACCCTGCGCTGCATGCATGTCATATTGCGTGCAAAACAGCGAGACCGATATACAAGCAGCGCAAGTCTGTTTTTCACTTGTGTAAAAATCCAGACTTTTATTCCTGATCGCACACAGAGCTTTATTCATGCAGTACCAGGTGCAAAGAGAGGAGGAAGTTAAGGGAAAAGGGGGGCATGACATATTTCTTCCATGCTGAATAATATCCAAGAACAGCTTGTGTCACCTTGGACCCGGACCCAGTGGTTTTTTCCATCCTCTCCGGCTAGGCTGCTGGCCAAGCAGGTGTACAGACCTGCATCCTCGACCTTTAAAGAGACAATATCAATCAGCTTGAGTGGTTCTTGCATGACAATGCTTTATTTGAAAATTTACACTCAACTAAAGTGACGACTAAGGTTTAAAAAGAGTGGGTATGTTTTTCTGTTTGTTTTTTAACAGGAGTGATTGCTTAGAAAAAGTCTTAGCGACATACATTGTCTTAAATAAAGTTTTACACCTTAAATTGCCAATCTCAGGAGAACATGTGCTCGCACAGTCAGTAATTTATACCTGAACTTTGCTAATCCTGATAAAGTTTCCGTCCTGCTGAACGATATCAGATCTCTCCACGGGCCGACCATCCTTGAGCCAGCTGAGGGTAGGAGGTGGGACTCCCACAGCAGAGCACTCCAGCTCAAGTGGACTGTTAACTGCTATGGTCAGCTCTTCTGGTGAGTCGGAGCTGACTATCTTTGGAGGCTCTGCATTAGAAAGCAAAATGTGTTAGCTTATGTTCTTTTTCTTTATTGCAGATATAAATAAATAAAAAGAGGGTGATCGTACCAAGCACGGTGAGGTTGAAGCTCTTGGTACTGCTTCCAGCCTGGTTACTAGCCACGCAGCTGTAAAAGCCCGCATCTGAGGGGGCCACGTCAGGAAGCTGCAGTCTTGTCTCCTGTCCATCCAGCAGCAGGTTGCGGTGAAGGGACAGCGGCTGTCCATCTTTCATCCACGTTAGCGTCGGAGGGGGGACGCCACGTGCTTCACAGGATAAAGTCACCAAGGATCCCTGGATTACTGAAACTGGCTCCACCGGTTCGACGTGATTCACACCGGGGGGCACTGCAGACCATAAACACAGAGTGTGAAACCCCACCGACCCAGCATGTTCTGTTTTCATGTTATCTACTGTTGGGATTGTACCTTGGACTTGGACATTATAGCTGAGCTCTGCAAGACCAGCTTGACTGCGTGCCACACACGTGTAAACTCCAGAATCAGACAGCTGCACAGGAGAAATCCTTTTTTTTTTAATGAAGAAAGAGAACATTTAGAATGACCTCATCCACCAACCTGTAATCTTTTTACAACACAGTCTGTAATCATCTTAACTGACCTCAGCAAAGAGTCACCGGAGAGGAGGCGAGCGCGGTGACTGAGGAGCAGCGGATGCCCATTCTTCAGCCAGCTGATCTGAGGCGGGGGGTTTCCTGCTGCCTGACACTCTAGCGTCACAGCGCTGTCCTGCGTGACCTGCACCTCTTTGGGGATGGTGGTCTCACCAGAAATAGATGGCGGTACTGCCACAGATGAAATAGACTGTGAAGAAATCGCTCAGAAACTTAACGCAGATAAACAAAGCTAAGGGGTGAAAAACCAACCTAGAGTAAAGACGGTGTAGATTTTGCTCTCCTGGCCGGCCGAATTCACAGCCAGGCAGGTGTACGTCCCAGAATCCTCAGGACTCAGGCGCAGCAAAGTCAGTGTGCTGCCATCAGATGTCACGCTGCCAGAGAACAAGCACGCTTTGTTTTCACATCCATTTTTCTCTATTATTTGTCCACATCTGAACCTCGGTGTAATTCTTTCATTATCACCCACATCCCACAGTTTTCTCACAGTCGCATGCAGATACATAAACACAGTCGCTTACTGTCTGATGACCACATAAGCTGGCGAACAGCTGTGAAGCAGCTGCTTTTACAGTTTTTCATGATCTAACTGGGCAAGACACTATAAACCATTTGTTCGTCGTGCACATCATTCTCTGTGTTTCTGATTAACGGTGACACTTTCCCAAACCCTTAATGAAGGCTGTTCATCGATTCAAATATTTACCATTGTTATGATTACTTCACACTTGACAGAGCGGGGCCTGAGAATGACTTACGCAATGTGACGGGCATCCGATCCCTCCAGAGTCACTCCATCTTTCAGCCAGCTGAGGCGAGGTGTGGGGATTCCATTTGCTCTGCACTCCAGGGTCAGCTCCTCTCCTCTGGGTGCACTCACTTCAGATGGGAGGTCAGAGTCCAGGATGGTTGGGGAGACTGAGTAGGGCAGAGATTACTGTTAAACACCTTTTGAAATCATTTCTCTCATAACACATGCTTTAAGAAACCTCGTTACCCTGCACGGTGACTGTGTACTCTTTTCGTGTTTCTCCCTCGCTGTTCTTGGCCACACACGTGTATGTTCCGGCATGAGACAGGCTGAGAGGCCCCAGCTCCAGCCTGGTGCCTCGAACAGACCACTGCCACTGCAGGCTGCTTTCTGGAAACCACACAGATCCACTTAATCTAGCTGTGACACCCTTTGGCACGTCTGCATTTCTCCACATTTCCATGTCACTCCCTCCCACTTACCAATAGGAGTTCCATCTTTAAGCCAAGAGATGCTGGGAACGGGTACGCCTGTGGCCTCACACAGCAGAGCCACGTGGGAGCCCAGGCTATAATTTAGAGACTCTCGAAGAGGTCCATCCAGGACAGGTGGAACTGTCAATATATATTTATGAGAATTTAGTCCATTAAAGACATTTGTCTATAGCGATTTTGTTCCAAAATGCTACAGAGTGATTTTTACCATGAACCGTCAGCCTAAAGGTTCTGTCCGCCTGTCCAGCCACATTGGACACTTTGCAAGTGTACGTGCCACTATCTCCCATCTAGTAACCACAAAGGAAAAAATTGTGAGTTGTGTTTTCTTTACAAGTTATAATCCAAAGGGATTCATGATTTTTTTTTTTTTTTTGGAACACCGGCTTCAAATGCTTTCAGGTGGGTGATCTCAGCTCCAGCCTGTTAGAATTAGTCAGAATTATCTCAGGGGTTTTAAATGCACCAGATAAAGGAACAGTGAGTGCAGTGAAAATATGTATACATTACACATCAGCACGCTGTTGAAAACCCCTTAAAATCCTTTTTTATGTTTTGTTTGCAGTCATAAAAAATGTCTGATGAGTCTGACCTGGACTCCTATTATCTCCAGCTGGTACTGATCCATCTTTAGTCCGTTCCCTGCAGCCAACTGGAGCCCATTCTTGTACCACGTGACTTCAGGCTCGGGGAAGCCGTGGGCTTCGCATCGCAAGGTGACTGAGGAGCCAACCTGAGGGGTCACCGAGTCTGACTCAGCATCGTGCCGGGGCTTCAGGGTGGGCACGACTGTTGGTTTGCACATTTAGAGAGGACATGATCTCAGTTTGATTCATTCAGAATTCGAATGAGTCACTCCTGAACTCTTCTCAGTCACAGCTGGCTTGAGATAAACAGATTTTTTTTGCCAGGCAGTGTTTTGGGATTTGATCATCTGTATATGTGGCTGAATTGTGCAGATGGGTCACAGTGTGTTTGCTCACCATAAACACTGAGGAGACTACTCTTCTGGTCCTGCCCTGCTGAGTTGGTGGCTGTGCAAACATATTGCCCTGCATCTTCTAGTCTGGCCCGGGGCAACTGTAGCATCTGGCCACCTATTACATATATATAGGCAATATATCAAATAATGATATGAAATATCAGTGCAAGAATTAGATTCTACCCAATATAATGCTTCTGATTGAAGGATTTGGGTATTGAAGATGGCCCAGAGGCTAACCTGGCAGAATGTGAATGCTGGTGCTGAAATGGAGGACTTGTCCATCTTTGGTCCAGGTAATCTCTGGAGGAGGGTATGCTTGGACGTCACACAGCAAAGACACCATGTGGCCCTCAGTCACACTAACCTCCTCCTCTTTAGGGCCTGTTATTCTAGGAGGGACTGCAAAAAGAGAAGAGAGTTGCATATCACAGTAAAGACTTTTTTGGGGTTTTTTTTTGGGGGGGGGTTTACCTTGCACTGTCAGACTGAAGAGCTTCTCAATTGTTCCGACCTTGTTCTCCGCTACACACGAATACCCAGCCATGTCTGAAACCTGGACACTGAGAAGCTGTAAGTTAGGACACAAGCGTTATTCTTCACTATAGAACGTTACGGTTGGATCTGTCTATTTGCTGGCAACGGTGCACAAAGGTCAGAGATAACTAACTTGAAGCTGAGTCCCATCCTCACTGATGTGGTGCTGTGAGTCCATGTGCACCGGCTGCCCTTCTCTCAGCCAGGAGACGACTGGAGCTGGATGTCCAATCACGTCACAGTGTAGAACCACGGTGCTGTTAACCACTGCTCCTATCTCCTCCATAAACTCCTTTGATGCTCCAGTAATAACAGGAGGGACTATGGAAGTTAAACACAACTGAAATTATTAAGTTACATCTCTATAATCACAGATTTTATTATGCAAACATTTTAATTACATCTAACTTAGGTATATGTACTCACTTACCTAGAATCTCCAGATCAAAGTGCATGCGATCCTCCCCTGCCTCATTAACAGCCTGACACGTATACCTTCCAGCATCCTCCTTCTGCACTCGGGCAATTTGTAGCACTTGTCCCCCTGTCATACATTAAAAATGACTCCTCAGTTACATATAACAACTGCACTAGTGGTTTTACATGAGGTTTTACAGAGTTTTCCCTGACCTGGAAGAAGCACCACTCCATCTGCAGAGGTTAACTTTTTGCCGTCTTTATACCAGCTGAGCTTGGGAGGGGGAATGGCATTGCTCTCACAGGACAGGCTGATTTGATGGCCTAGCACAACTTCCCGCTTCTCCACCACGTTCTCATCATTAAGGTCGTCTTCGTGTCCCAAACCCCAGGATGCTTCCCTGTTATTCACCCGGTGGAAAATCGGAGGGACTAAAGAGACAGCGGCACATTAGAGCCAGATTGCTTTCTATACAAAGGTTTTAAAATGAAGTGTTTTTCTAGCTGCTATACACTGAATTAACCGAACACACCTTGAATAGTTACACGAAAGTGTCTCTTGTCCTCTCCTGCAGAGTTGGTGACCACACAGGTGTACTGACCCTCATGGGACAGCATGGCATTCTCTATGTGAAGGAAGTGGCCGCTCTCTTTAATGCCAGCATGGATGTTTCCAGTCAGCAGCTAAAACACAAAGAAAATACACAGTTAATGTGAAGTATTGCTCGCAGGAATCTGTGGGTTGATGAATAAATAAAACAGACTGTCTCTGATACTTTGTTCAAAAGTGCTCTTTAAGCTCGATGGAGCCTCCTTAAGATTTGTTGCCTCTTTGAACTACTGTGTCAAGAAAATATTTAGCAGATCTTTAAATGTGGCTTTAAAACACCCAAGACATACAGAGCTTCCACCCACACTCAGAAAGAAAATCATATTTTACATCATCTTTAATCCAATTGCTGCTTCTCATATTGTAGGCCCTGCAGAATATTCATACACGTGCACTTGCATTCTGAACAGAATAAAGGACACAGTACATCAAAACACAGTAGGTCACGAAAAAAACAAAAAAAGAAATCGCACAGTGTTTTATGTCTTGAGGTTTAATCACTGGATTCTTCCTCTATGTCTATAATTAACTGGCTTACTCATCACACTAAATAAGGCGAGTGGAGGTGGGTTGTGCAAGAGGGTTGCTGTAATTCATACCAGTTGCCAATAGAGGCTGGCAGAGGTTAGAACTTGTTCCATTGAAAACACATTTTGATTTTAGTAAGCATAGCTTTTAACGGTGACACACACGGACCTGTCCGTCTTTGAACCACTGGACTTTGGGCTCGGGGAAACCTTTGGCGAGGCAGGACAGAGTTAAGCTCCCGTTGATCCGCACTTTCTGTTCCTGACCACCAAACGTTAGGGAGGTAGAGTCTCCTTCTATCTGCGGTGGGACTAAAGAGATGAAAACATTAAAAATCAAATCCCTCTTTTATTTTTCACCTTGTTAGAGATGCACATGTCTCTTACCCAGAACACTGAGTGAATAGTGCTTGATGGCAGTGCCAGCTGGATTTGTAGCCCTGCAAGTGTAGAGGCCGCTGCTGTCTCCCTGTGCCGAACCCAGCCGCAGGGCCAGCCCACCGCGGGTGTATGTCAGCTGGGGAGTGGATACGATGGGGTGATTGTCCTTGAGCCAGGTGATGCTGGGTGTGGGGAAGCCCTCGACGTTGCAGGGGAGGATTGCAGGGAAACCCAGCACCACTGACACCTCTGATGTCTCAGTAGTCCCCTTAATAGTGGGAGGGGCTGGAGTAAAAAACAGAGAACACGTTTATTTTTAACAGCCAAATCATTTTTTACTGGCACACAGTACAGAATAACCAGAGCAACAGGCGAATGCTTTGCTTTTGTGTAGGAAACCTTCTAAAAAAGAAATGCAGCGTGTGGTACTCTATTACTGCACCTGACAGAGAAATGTCCCCTTAAAGAGAATTCAATATGTGCACATCGACCACATGGCTAAATACAATGTTAACTTATGTTACTATAGAGGCTGGGCATTCACATGAATTATATATGATGCCTCGCAATTCTCTTTCTCAGAGTGTTGCCATAACAGCAGCAATTTAGGGAAAAATGTCAGAGTAATATCCTGAATCTATACAACTGTTTTGTTTTTTGCTTTGTTTTTTTCATAGGTGTTAAATCAATAACTGCTGTTAAATTCAGGTGAGTGTAGTTGGAGGTTTACATTTTGTTAAAAAAAATGTTCAAAACAACCTTGGACGTTGAGTCTAAATTGGCGCATCTGAGTTCCTGCGTCGTTACTGGCCAGACACCGGTAAAGACCCTGGTCTCTCGGCCTTACTGACTTCACCTTCAGCACCTGGCCATCTTCCAGAAACTCCACATGAGGGTCTCCATCGCGGGACAGAACCCTGGAGAAAGAACGGAAAGGATGATCGAATCAATTCAGTGAATCCTGCATCCTGTGTACGCTGCTGAATGTCACGTCGATAAAAGAGATTCTTACTCTCCGTCGCGGCTCCATTCCACTCTTGGCGCTGGTTTTCCACTAACCCGACACTGAAACTCCACCTCCTGGCCCAGTACCACAGTTAACTCCTGCATTCGAGACGTTCCTGAGATCACAGGTGGAGCTGGCGAAAAACACCACATGCTCAATGACTAGTTTGCATTAAGAATGAATGCTGAATGTGTATCTTATCACAGATCCCCAAACTGGTCTTTCTTGCTGCCTTATACCTTCCTCTTAAATATCCATGTGAAAGCAGGTTTATAATGAGCTCACCTTGCACCACTATGTTATATTGTCTTTGGGTCTCTCCAGCTGAGTTTTGAGCTGTGCAGACAAACTGTCCTGCATGTTCAGGCTGAACTCTGTAGATTCTGAGCAGCCTATTTCCATTCTCAAGATACACCCCAGGGTTGTCCACCTGCACACACAGAAATCAGCTTGAGTGCATCCACACTGTTTAAATGTTATTGAAATAATTGCCACTTGGTGGCATTGTACCGCTAGAGATCGACAAGATAGCATTTACAGTAAAAACATGTAACCTGGCTTTTAGATTTTTCTGTAAATGGGAATCCAGGATGACACACTCACAGCTTTGCCATCTTTAGTCCAGGTGATTGTTGGAGAGGGGATCCCAAAGGCGTCACATCCCAGCGTGAGAGGCTGCTTCAAGGTGACAGTGAGGTTCAGCGGTTGGCCATTATCTTGAATTTCAGGGGGAACTAAGACAGCACAGAAAGAAAGGTTTATGGACCATCGTTATGTGTAAAATATACTTTTAACAGCAGGAAAACAGCCATGAGATAAGTTCTCACCATTCACTTTTAGCCTGGTCTTTCTCTCCACAGAGCCTGCCTCATTAACTGCCACACACTTGAAGTCCCCACTGTGGCTGGCAGACGCTGCGCTAATTACAAGAGCTCCATCCCTCGCCACGGAAAAGTCGGGTTGTTCGGGGTGTATCTCCAGGCCATTCTTGAACCAGCGTACTTTGGGATTAGGCGAACCTGCAGGTGCAGCGACAAGAAAAGCGAGTGAGGATAAAATGAGCTTTATTGATCATATCGGACAGAAAGAAGAGTTACTTCCATCTCTCTTCTTCTGTGCAGGATAACTTAACGGGCAAGCAGCCCAGACTACAAAAAAGCCAGCTCTCTACATTTATCAGACAGCAGGACAGCAGGGAGTGGATGCCAAAATGGTTAGAGTCCTTGTCGCCTGCAGGCTTAAGATTTCAAGGTCAAAGTCACATAAAAAAAAGTAAAACACTGCATAGAGGAGTGACGGAGGATGTAATACTTAAAATGCAGACATAAAGATTTATTGCTAAACACTGGGATGAGAGTGAGTAGAGAGAGTAAGAGCTGTAAGAAAGATAGTGGTTGAACAAGTGGTTCAAAGGCACTGGCGTGTTTCCTCAGGAGCCTTAAAAACACATGTGTTTGGTGGATTATTGGGTGGAAATAGAGCTAGAAATGCCCGACAGAAGAAAACTGGATCAGGGACAAGGTGGAGAATTTAAAAAGCTTTGTAACCCTCCAAAAATCTCCACAACAGATTCCCTAACAGACTAACAGAGCAGCACAGAGCCACACTCCCTCGATTTACAGAGGTGACACATATACAAACACCACTTGAAAAATCAACCGCAGCACCCTTCCTTCTCCATCCCCCAAAAAGCAGGAGAAGACGCAGCACAACCAAAGGTGACGTTACTGTCTGTTTCCTCTCAGAACACGTGTTTACAGTTAAGGAGCTCTGAAGCAAATTCATTATCTCATTGCTGCGGGAAATGCATACAGATGTTGTGTTTTAGATGTTAACAGATCTCATTAGCAGGCTCTGAATTTATTTACCGGGGCTGACGAAGTCTGAGATTATCTCTTCCATGTGTTTCTCCAATAATTACCTCTATCAAATGCAATGTGCTTGTTGGTGAATTAATAATTAACTTCTGGCAGAGACTGTGCTTGTTTCCCCTCGTGCAGATAGATCTCAAAGAAAACAAAAGGACCAAAGAAAGTGGGGATCCTCGTTTGGTGCTGCAGGCTGACTGCCTCTCCGGCCCGTCAAGAGCATCAAGCATTTCTGTATTTCTGTGCTTGGTACTGTCAACCCTTCCGTATGACTCAGAAGAAAGGTGAGGCCAGCGAGGCTTCGTCTTTCTCTTCCTGTGCTTCACGGCGCACCTCAGACATCTCTGTCCTTTATCTGCCAGAAGCAGCCTGTAATTAGGATTCCGCTCCCAGCAGGCCTGACACACAGGAAAGCAGATGTGGCTCACAGAGGCAGGAGGCAGACTGATGTTCCAGCTGTTGCTCCACATTATACACAGTGCTCACCTCCTCTCATTGAGCTGGTTACCATGACACAGCTCCACACAAACAATACCTGTTTGTGCGGGCTGCCACTGAGTAGCCATCAGTCCAGACGGAGACGCGACACCGACGCTTGCTGCGTTTTGATAAAACAGCAGGTCCTCCACATCCCTACAGAATGTCTCTCGTTCGCAAATGGATGTTAGGAAATAGAGACAATGGCATGCCTCCGGGTGCTGCAGTGAAAAGAAGTTTCTCCTTTTAAGATGGCAACTAGGAGTCTGTGGTGACAGTGAAACATTCTTTTGATTGCGCACAAAAACACATCACTGTCCTACATATAACATTGATTTCTCTCTTTTTTTTCTCCTTTCTGTGTTGCAGAAACAAACTGAAAGATGACAGAGTTCAGTTTTAGGCTCCCTAAAACTTGAATTACACCTTTTCAGTGTGTCCACGCTGACTCATCTGTGAATCATTCCATACCTTTAGCGGGGCAAGGGATGATGACCTTGCTGTTTGCCACTTTCTCCATGATAACATCTCCAGGTTCGGCAAAGGTCGGGGCCTCTGTGAGTACAGAAAAATATGTTAAGTGCTAGTTCAAAGTGCAAGGGCAGCTAATAAATAAGAGGTGCAATGACAATTAGTTTTAGGTTTCGGAGTAAGAAGAAGCCTCAATAGGATCTAAACATGATTTGAAAAACTGAACAGATTCTCCCCAATGACCAGAGCGTGCATCATGCTTTGACAGCCTGAGCCAGGCTGACTTCTTTTTCTTATCTCTTAAATCAGACAGTCATATTGAGATCGAGATCATTTTTTTAAGAGAGAGACCCCAAAAAATGCCACACAAAGTGACAGGACCACACAAACGGCACATGTAAGTCAAACTGAAACCAACAAGTCAAGCGTGAAATAGAGAGAATCAAAGCAATTACAGGGGTTGCTGCAAAAAGAAACAACAGCTGTTAAAGCCTGAACATCTGTAAGAAGAATGGGAAAATCCAGTTTTTTGCTTTTAAAAGATGAGTTTTGGTTTAGGAGAGGTTAGAATGTCCCTGTGCGCTTGATCCCCTTGATGTTGAAAATGAGTAAATGATTAAGTAGGGAAGCTGGGAAAGCATCAAAGGCAGACTGCAGATGAGTAAGAGCATGTGTCAGAGAGGAACAAGGGCATGGAAATATAAAAGGGGACTGATCGGGAAGAATAATATTATTTATATATCACGTAAATAACAACAAGAAAGCTTGATTCAGTACAAATGGACACGACTCTGAGTTCTTAACCCGAAGTCATCTCCCTTTGTGAATGTTTATCAGAAGGTCAAATAGCTCACTGTTTGCCAGTTTGTACGGTCAATGTGCGCCTAAAGTGAATGTGCCTCTAAACGCTGAGAGGGCCGAAAACAGATGCATCATTAGTGAACCTTCATATGACCAGTGATAGTGAATAGTTGTTCAGATATATCATAGAAAACAACCATGAGTCACAATTTAATAGTTCTGCAAGTGAACAAGCAGGTCTGAGGAATTGAACTCGTGACATTCACCAAGAATTTCCAGCTTGATCTCCAAGGTCTCCTGTCCTGCACTGTTCGAGGCCACACACCGGTAGGCGGCCTGGTCGGCGTGGCTGACCTGCTGGATCCTCAGGGGTGTAACATTCTTGTCCCCAACAGGTGATCCATTGCGAAACCAGCTGATCTCAGGGCTCGGCTCTCCCTGCGCTATACATGGCAGAGTCACTGTTTGGCCGAGCAGGGCTTTCAGGAGGGAGGGTGCTGGCAGAATCCTGGGTTTAGCTGAGGACAAAACAAATATCCTAAATATTAGATGCACATAGTTTTGAACATTGACACAAACTTTATCACATTAAAGTTACAGGCTGTCCATGCTGTAGCTTTGAATAATCTCCAGTTCCCTTTTCCTGCTAAATTTATGAAGAAATAACAAAGGGATGGCCCACAACTACCGATAACCAACTGATTTCGCATCAACTCTCAAACCTGAAATGAAAAAAAAACATAGAGAACTGTGCATAAAAATGAATGAAATTCCCCAGCTGTTAATGCAATATTGAAGCTCGACAGCAGCTTTAAGCCCATCATAAAACTGTAACTTGAGTATGTCATGGTAAATGGCTTTAAAGTAGCAAAAATCTATGTGCAAAAATATTTGGAACTGTATTCATACACACGTCTCACATATAAGTCACACAGAGACTTAAAGATATTGGCTGAACAAACAAGTTTCCATAAACTTCAACTTTTACTGAAACCCTGTGGAGTTACCTTGAATGTGTAAATTGTAGCTTAGGGACGCGTTGCCTGCTGGGTTTTCTGCAGTGCAGGTGTACAGTTTACTATCAATCAGGCGCACATCAGTGATCTTCAGAGAGCCTGAAGGCAAAACAGTGAACCTGGGGAGTGGTTAGGGGTCAAGGGCAAAGACATGGAGAAAACACAGAACTTTATGAGTCACTGAAGATCTACAGCTACTGTGTTCTGATAAAATAGGTGTGTCTGTTTTCTTTTTCTCTCCTATATCTCCTATATTTTGAAGCATGCATATAAACCACCTCCTGCAGGCCAGAACTCCTTTAAAGCTGACTGAGGAAAAGTGGAAAACTGTTCAGTGTTCAGATGAATCAAGACTTTAACTTCTTTTTTGGAGAAAATGGACACAAAAATCTCTGCAGCAAAGAAGAGAGGGAGCGTCTGTGTTGTTATCAGCACTCATTTCAAAATCCTGCAGGGGGTGCAATAGCAAAAGTGGCAGCTTGCACATCTGCAAAGCTAGAAAGATTCCAGAGAAACTTTGTACCAGATGATGTCTTTTTCAGGGATGGTCTTGCACATTTCAGCAAAACAATGCTAAACTGCACACTGCATCTATTACAATGACTTCATAGCAGAAGAGTCTGGGTGTTGAACTGCAGTTCAAAACATTTACCAACTGGAAACATCTGGCATCATGAAGTGAAAAACATGACAAAGAAGATCTAGGACTGCTGAGCAGCTAGAATCCTATATCACATAAGAACGGGACAACATTCCAAGAAGTCCCACAGCTGGTCTCTTCAGCTCCCAGATGTTTATGGACTGCTGTTAAAAGAAGAGGGAATGCTACACAGTAGTAAACATGGCCCTGCCCCAATTTTTCTAGATTTGTTGCTGCCATCAAATTCAGAATTAGCTCATATTTTTTCAGAGTTTAAACATTTAATATCTTTTCTGTGCTGTATTGTAAATAAAATGTGGGCTTATGAGAGACGCAAATCATTACGTTCTGGTTGACATTTTATACAGCGTCCAAACTTTTTTTTTTTTTTTGGTATTTGGGTTGTACAACAAGTATCAGAGCATTTGACAGGTATACATAAATTGAATTATGCTGTCAAACACTTAGTGGTCCTTATTCAATTATGTTGTTTTGTTGAAATGGAAAAAGAAAATGTGTGAGGGTTAGAGTTCATAAAGAGCAAGCAATAGCCGGAGTCTGGACCTCATCCAGAGCTAAGTACGATTGTCTGGGATAATTACAATGTGAAAGGGTCAGCAGTGTTTGACCTGATAATATCACCATGGGAAAGGTTGTAGGTTCAAAAAGATCAATGCGGATTTTTCTGTTTGCGTGTGCAGCTATTGTGCGTTTACGACCGCGGGGTCAGGAAATAAAGATAAAGTGAAAATCAAAAGGTTGACTTAATGGTGGAGCTCGAATGAAAGGTCGCACAGGTCTCCAAAGTCAAAGCGTCATCCTTCCTGGGACCAACTAAGTTCAAAGCAACGTTTTGGCCCAACTTGCCATTTGTTTTTTTTGATGTTTGTAAAAGTCAAACAAGTGGACAGATGGTGCTCATCACATACACTCTAGTACACAACCTCAGCTCCAAAGTCAGGCCTTGCTTGCTGTGGGTCAGCAACTTTAAAGGAGGGTGTGGTAACCTGAAATGCTACAGAAGCTATCCAGCTGTACAAATGTATAATATACAGCAATGTAAACACACCTCTGCGATTTATCTTTGATAAGTGTGTCTGCTAAGCAACCAAATTCTAACAATAACACGCCTGTCTAAGTGGAAACGAGCTAGAAGCACAAAGAGCTCTGTATTTTAGACGCACATATGGTGTAATGTCTTTCACCCACCCCCCCCACCTCCCCAAACAGCCGTAGGAGAGACGACAGCATCCAGCTCGAAAACTGAAAGGCGGCCTCTGCAGTGGTTAATGTGAGCTCAGGCTACAGCGGTGCTGCTCCGCGTGACATGAACAGCCCCTCTCGCTCATCCATCACTCCCCACATTGGTGTCATCTGTGTACACAGTGCGACTGGCCAAAGACTAACTGGGACAAATTGGCCTCATCAGGATCAGGTCTCCTGTGACCAAATCTTCTGACTCAGTATTGAAAAAAGGAAAGAGAAAAACAAAAAACTCCCTGCCTGGTACTAGTCTGAATACATGGATATGAGATAAATATCATCTCCCACTGTTTAAGTTATTTTAAAAATCAGCACCCCTCAGTTATTTCCTCCGAACCTCAGAGTGTAGCTTAAAGGAGTTAATGTTCCTTTACAGAGCCCGCTCCTTCCATAGGTCCCTGCGTATGCAAAGCATGACGCTGGGTTTGTTCACAGGGATGTGTTATTCTCATCAGACAGGACTAGTAAAGAGTCAGCATGTTGTTTTACTGCCGAAACACCGCGGGGAATCTGAACATCAGACAGACACAACTTGTATCTCTTCCACTGTCAGTTCACTTTCCGCCCCTCTTCCTGGCACCCCCTCCCTCCAACGCCACCCCCCACCGTTTCCTTCTTCCTGACCCCACACAAGTCATACTGTATCTGAGTCACAACGGCTTTCAACTCCCTCTGTCATTCTTCTATCTGCACTAAATGATTCGGCCTGGTGTCTGGCCCAAAGAGTCTGCCTGTCATCCATCCAGCTCGTGTCTCGGGGCAGCCTGCCTGCCTGTCTGCGCCCAGAGTGACCACACATGAAAGCCAGGAATCAGGCAACCACGTGGGACCAGATGTTTTACCTCGGTTTAGCCAACTGGTGATGCCCACATACAGATCTCTAGTCTCTGCTGCCTCTGCCTGGCCGCTCTTCCAGAGGCATTACGACATGTTAGCAGAAGCTTTGAACAACAGCCAGAGCTCTTTGTAAAAGCTGACTCAGGTGTTAGTTAAGTCAGAGGTAAAGTATGGTTAGTGCTTTTGGATTATGTCAGCTTATATTTGAGACATTTAACTGCATGATTGTCGGGGTGAGGTAAGGCTTCCTCTTACCCAGCTGTGACGGGGGGGATGGGATGCCCGTTTCGGCTCCACGTGACTAACGGAGAAGGACTCCCTTCAGCCTCACACGGGAGAACAACCTCTGCCCCCACCTCTGCAGCCATGTTTACTGTGTTGTCGTGACCAGTCACGCCCATTATCTTTGGCACAGCTTGAACACAACAAAAGAACTTGTTAGACGACCACATAGGCACTTCCTTTACAATTCCAAACGCAAACTGTTTGCCTCCGTTCGCCTTACTATTGACACTCAGCTGGATCTCGCGACTAGCATAGCCCACAGGACTGGTGGCAGTGCAGATGTAGATGCCTGCATCTTCGGCGGAGGGGTTGGGGATGTGGAGGTGTCCCTCAGAGTCAGACTGAAGAGCGGAGCTGTCCCTGGGCAGGGGCTGCCTCCCCTGGCAGAATAAGATCAGACAGAACATATTATATTAGAAAAGTCCTCCACACAAGCGTGCGCATGGATGCTAAGATTAGTTCAAAGTTTACAACCCAACCTTTGATGTCTAATGGAATTACTGGCCACCCCTTCGGATTGCTCTCTATCTGCAGCGTGCACACGCAAGAACCGAGGCAGCTGCGCATCCACTCGCTCTGAACATTAGAGCGCTTTAACAGATACACTTTTATCTGACAAGAAGGTAAATTTACTTGACTCTAGAGTAACATTTTGAAAATGTTAGGGGAAAGGCCGGGTGGAATATAAATCCGGCTCAGTTCAGCAACATGTAGACAACAACAGCATGCTGACCTCGTGCAGGGTAGTATTAGTACAGGGTACGTAATAGTGGCAGGGTATTTCATCGGCCATGTTTTTCTTGCCTTTAAAGAAAAGATGATATCACTGCAGTTCCTAATTTCAGTGGTGGAAGAGAAACAGATGCATTAACAGTATACAAACTGCCGCTTCTGCTTCACTACACGTCAAAGATAAATGTACACTTTTTACCAGGCAATATTTATCTCACAGCTTTAGCAACATTACAAATTATTAATCTGTTATATTGCAGCGGCTGTCAAAGGCAACGCTGCAGTACCACACAAGCTGTAATAAGATCTGTTTTTGCATCCTGGATGGATCGAGAGCATCGGCTTAGCACCGCCTGGTTGCACATAAACTTTTGTGTTTTCCTCTCGTGATATGATGAAGTGTTGTACTAGGAGGGGATGCGGGAAAGTCTTGAAATAGATTCCTAAGGTACGATAAAAACAGGGTGATTTGCACCAGTCAAGCAGCAATATAGTAAAGTTGCCATGGTTACTTCCCTCCCTGGCCAGGTTAATCAAGTCTTGATTGCAGTGGAAACTGTTTTTGTTGGTGCTGTTTTGTTTTGTTCTGTTTTTTTGTGTTCTGACAAATCAAAGAAAAGACCAGAGGGGAAAAAAAGAAAACTGTTTGAATAAGACAAAAAAAATGTAATTGTATTTATGTAAATGTAATCACAGTAAGTGAAGGCGATTTGAAGTGCTACAGATGTATGTGTAAAATAAAAAAAATATCCAGAGTAACTCAGTGTGCCTCAAAATGAATTCAGAATTAAAACCCTTTTTCATTATCAGTCATTTCACACTGATTTGATTCTGGTTTTATTAATATCGTTATGCTTGTATTGACTGGCACGGTCCAAGATTGCACTCTTAAGGATAATCTAGATCCCATCACCGCTGAGTATTGATTTTTGCTGTTGCCTGATTGTGATAATTATTTCCAAAGTGCTAATAATGACTCATTGTAAGCTGAACTGATACAAAGGGCTGACCTTGGACTAGACGGTGCTGTGGAAGTCACGCTTGATTTACTGAGCTGAAGCTGAAGGTTGCGAGTGTTACCTTGGACCAGACAACATCTGGTTTGGGAACGCCGGTAGTTTCGCATGATAGCCTGATGGCTACACCCTCGTTGGCTATGTAGTGGTACGGACCAGCGCTGATCTCCGGGGGCACTGTGGAAGAATAAGGTCATAAAACACAGCTGTCTGACTGAGCGTGAAGAAGCGATCTGCTGCTGCATTACCACCGGCCTCAGCTGACCAGCAACATCGGCGTTTGAGGCATTTCTTCATTACAAACTGATGATGAACCATGATCCTGGCTGTCTGTCATTACATGCTCATGACTCCATTTATCAAAGCATGCAATAAAGCAGGCCCTCTCTCTGTGATGACAACAGGTGGTCGATTCATTCAAAAATTGTTTTCCATGCTGAGTTGGCACATTTTTGGCTTAATTGTCCAATTATATAGCCTGTGGTTGCAAACTTTGCACTGAGAAAGTGCATTCAGTGAGTGAAAGGGTCTGCTTTTAGATTAGGCTCATATATTTTCTTGCTGATATTTTATTAGTGCACATTAAATATGACGATAGAACCAGATGTAGGAGATGTAAGTTTAGTTTAGCTTGGATTATGGAAGCTTAGTATAAAGACTTGAAGAAAGTGGGAAACAACTAACCTGGCTGTGCCAAAAATGTAAATTACACACACAATTTGGGATTTTACAGCGGGTCATTTACTACAATAATTTGAGTCAGTTACTTTCTGGAGTATCTCCAAGACTATAAGCCTGTCTTAGCTGCTTGTGCTTATTGTTTGCTGGCTTTGATTTTATTGGTAATGTGAGTGTTACTATTCCTTTACTCTCCTACCGTGAACCTCCAGGCTGACTGTGATGTTCGCGGAGCCTGCCACATTAACCGCAGTGCACACATAAATCCCAGTGTCCTCTGGGATGGCTCTTTCGATGTACAAACTGCCATCGCTCCTCAAGAACATCCTTCTGTTCAGATGGAACTGTGCAAACGAAAAAAGTAAAAATATTCCTGTCATACACAAACACAGATATGATCCATGGGAGAGGCAGGTTTGAGTTTGATGTTTTTACCAGCCTTACAGGTTTTCCATTCTTGGACCAGTGTCTTTCTGGAAGAGGAATTCCATCCAACAACATGCAAGGAATACTAAGTGACTGACCGCTCCCGGTGGTGATCACTGGGGCAACTTGGGCCAATAGAGGTGGCTCTGCAAGAAAAAGGATTTGAAATGATTATTAAACAACAAGAGCAGGAATATATGTGTTATAGCCACAGTGTCCTTCTGTGTGTTTCTGCTACATGCATATATGGGATCACAAAAAGAGCCTACCCAGTCCAGTGACACTAACTCTGGCCTCAGATTTGATGGTTCCAAACTGGTTCTTGGCCTCGCAGATGTATAGACCTTCATCATCCAGCCAGACACCTACAGTCAAACACACATCATTGAAAAATGCACCCCGCCGCACATTACAATATATCTGAGAGTAGCAGCATCATCACACTTACCAAGAAAGAAAACAGTCTATCTAAAAAAACTAAATAAGTTCATGCTAATAGCAGCTAAGACCCCTACTCAGTAACAACTGGTATTATTGGCCTGACAGTGCTGTAATTAGGAGCTAAAAATAGAAAATAACAGGATTAATGGGTTTGGCTCAGCTGCTATCCTGCTGTCCCACTCAGTAAATTCTCTTGAGATCACATCTTGGAAGATCAACATATGTTTCAATTCTTCTGTCCTAGCAAATATTGAAGGATTCCAGGATAAAGCATTAAAGGTAACTAGTGAGGAGCACGATTCAAGGAGATAGTGGCGTTTGAGCACTACGCAATATGAACAGAGACATTTCTGAAACTGCAGGCAATAAAAATAAAATAAAGCCATCTGTAGCAGATGGAGCCAATCAGGTCAGAGGGCAGCCGCAAATGGAAACAGTGACAGAAACGGCCCATGTAAATATGTCTGTTCCTGTCCAATATTATATTTCACACTATAAACATTTAGTCTCAGGAGCACAAAGCATCACGGTATGTGGCTAAGAATAGTCATGTTTCAGGCTGAAATATCTTCCAGAGTTCACAGCTTTGATCCCCCTGCCCTGATGAGGACAAAGACAGACGCCTTCTCTTGCCAAATAATTAACAACATTTTAAGGAGAGTCTTTTCACAGAGCAGAGATAATGCTTTTAGCAGGATGGATATTCGAGAGGCATCGGTTTACTGTAACTTTACCAATGGCAATGACATCCCGGCTCTCCCACCTCTTAAGAAAATCTTAGCTGGATTTAATATGATACTCTTCTATATATACTTGCACAATTTGAGTCAAGCCAGTTCGAGCAGGGAAACCGTGAGGCTGCCGCACAGCACACCAAAGCTCTTTGCTGTGATAACTCACTCTGGATTAGAAGATGTCCGTTCTCCAGCTGCATTGTTTTACTGTGGCTGTCTGAACGCATGAGAATCTGTCTGCCATCCTGTCTGCGCCAGGTCACCGTCGGCTGCGGGAATCCCCGGGCAGTGCAGGGGAGGGTGATATTCTCCCCGACATTGACTGTCACGTCAGCCGGTGCCTCGGAAAACAATGGACCCGCTGTGGAAGGAAGAGTGGTGCCAGATGGATGTTTTTTCCTTTGTATAAATGTGAGAGAAATACAAGTATTATGTGGAAAACTGTAGTGTGGCCTCACCTCCAACCACCAGACTAACAGTGCCAGAGGAGGTTCCAGCAGAGCTGCTCGCCACACAGCTGTACTGACCAGCGTCGACCTCCTGCACGCCACGAATGTGCAGCGTCCCGCGATGTACGTCCTGCTCAACAAAAGGAGCAGAGCCCACCTCGAGTTCACCTGGAAGTACGAGCAATATAAGCTTGTCGTCCTCTAACAGAGACATCTCCACAGTCATTTTAATAAAAGCACTGTGTATGGCGTTAACTCACCTTTGAACCAGTGGACAAGAGGGGACGGAAAGCCTGTGGCCTGACACTCGAGAGTTGCATCACCACCAACAGTCACTAGCACAACCTGCTGTACCACTGTTATTCTTGGTGCCTCTGCAGAACAAAAAAAATCAGTGGGATGAACTTTTTATTCCAGGGATGTCCAAGTCATTTTACATCATAGGCCTCGGGACTTTGATTTTAAACGGACCAGTGAAAATCCCCTTTCTATTGGTGCAAAGGAGTTTAACTGCACATTTAAACCCTGCGATATCTCAATGTAAGAAAAAGAAGTGGAATTTCAAAGGTGCGTCTCAGTTTTTCCACGTGATAAAGAAACGCTGCTATAGTAAAATAAAGAAATTTGTCAGCATGACTCTGTGGACTTAAACTGTAACAAATAAATGTGTAAAGTTACAGAAGTACTGATAGTTCGTGGGCCGGATTCTCCTGTGGTTTTAAAGTGGGGCATTTTTGTTGTTCTATTTTATTCATTTATTTAATTGTTTAATTGCAAATTCTATTTCTGCATTACTTTGGTTTAGTATGAATGGCTGTTTTGGAGGTCTATCAGTAGGACAAGCTTACAGTTTAAAGTCCAAAATTTATGCTCTCCTTCACATTTTCTAAAGACATCTAGTGGGCCGGATTGGAGTTTTTGCTGGGCCAATTCTGCCCCCCGGGCCTTATGTTAGGCCCCCCTTTTTTTAGTTTATAGCAATGCACCGGTCTTTCATGCAGCGCTACTGTACGTGAACAGTAATGTGCTGTTTGTTTATACCAGCAAGGGCATGAGAAAAACCCTGATGTGAATGTAAAAATGATGCTTATACTTTAGAACCAGGCAGCTGAGCTGAAAGGATGAGATGATCTACTGTGTTATAAGGTTTTCCCTGATTTGACAGATCAGTGTTGTTAAAAATGACATTCAGAGACAAGTGCGTATAATACCAGCAAGCCCCAGGAAAATGCTGCCATAATCCATCAGTGTTACGGTTTCTGTCAAGCACTAACTGACAGCCGTGAGTGAAACTTCAGGCCCACAACTGTCAGCGCTCACCAAACAAGGAGAGAAACATCACGTCGTGTGAGACAGAGCTGTATGTGGCCATGTTCGCTTGCTGTATACTCTGCTCTATCCTGCTGGATATCATTAAAAGAAATGCGCCTTAAAAACAGTCAACACGGGCAAAAATGCTTCGTGTCACTGGAAGTTAAAAATGAAGTCAGAAGAGAAGCAATTATTCAGAACAGAAACTTTAACAACTCCGAATGACGAAAGGCTAATTCCAGCAACAATATATCTTCGCGCTGGCATCCTCAACCAGACATCTGTCGGGATGTGTTGACTTACCCGCATAACTAAGTGACACAGACTGAGAGGCAGTCCCAGCCTCGTTGCTTGCCAGACATGTGTAGTTCCCAGCATCCTCTGGGAGGGCCCCTTTAATGGTTAGAACTCCATGCTGGTTCAGACTGAACCTGTAGCATACAGTGGACAGGATTCATGTTTGTTGATACTTTTGTTGATTACAAGCGCAGATGTAAAACAGAGATCCATCTCTCTGAATCTTTATGCTGCCGTTTGGTGTCACGGGAGAAATTTGTGTGTGTGCGAATGTATATTTCACTGCTGACATATAAAATACTTGTGGTTTGGGGGGAAAAAAAGGGTTGACATGAGTAGATGTAAATTTCCAAAGCGATGCAAACAAGATGAGGCGATGGCGCATGTAGGTCAAGTGGAACGTAATGACTCTCTGAGTCCTTTGTGCCAGAGGTGCCGAGTGGGCTGAGAGTTCCCCTCTTACCTCGGCCGATTAGTTAGGAACACGTTGCCTTGGCTCCAGAAGAGCCGGGGAGGGGGGGAGCCGGACGCCGAGCAGACCAGGCGGATCTCATCGCCTTGGGAGAAAGCCAGGGACTGCGGGTGCACTACCACAGAAGGAGCCTCTGCAGTTGAAATCAAAGGAAGGCAAAAAATGTAAAAAAAATAAAAAGCAGACGATGACTCAGGGCCTTGTCACAGGCTGCATGATGTCATTTATAGCTATCACAAGCTTAACAAGAGCAAACTTGATGCTGTGGGCTGCAAAGCAATTACAAAAACACTCCATGTCTGACTTCATAACTACAGGATATTCTTGAAGACATATTTATTTGCCTGTTTGTTGAAGTCATTGCAAATATCTGAGTGCATTCCCTCAGTAGACGCCACACTTTTCAACACGCATAAGTCTTTGCTGATGAGAAAAGGAAGTGGCTTAATCTGATTGCAAGGAGGTCGAGGCAATAATGGAAAACAGATGACGGGGGCCCGCGAGGATCCGTTAAGCCCTGCCGCGTTAAATGTTTAAGCAGATGAGCCGCAGGGTATTGGGCTATCATACCTGGGACGTGGAGCCACACGGCGATTCTGCTGTCTCCGTAGGGGTTGGTTGCCACGCAGCGGTACTCCCCAGCATCCTGAGCCCGCACAGCGCTGATCTGCAGGTAAGAGTTGGGCAGCAGCTTCACCCTCCCTGCCCGTGCCTGGATAGCATAGCCCCCTCGATGCCAGGTCAAATTGTGGCGCATGTTTCCCTCCACCTGACAGGACAGCACAGCCACGCCTCCCACAGAAGATGTCACATTCACTGGGGGCTTCAAGACCGGAGGAGGATCTGTTTTAGTGGAAACATGAGTGCAGACAATGTTTAAAACAAATATTTGTGCAGACATGCTTTCTATCTAGTTTATGTCTAAACGATAAAGCAGAGGTTTGTATCTAAATGGCTGGAACGCACCCACGTCCAACTGAAGGGGAGTGTGCGCTTGCATTGTTGTTGTGTGACATACCTCTAACAGTTAACTGTGTTACAGCCCACCCCTGCCCTGCGCTGCTCTGCGCCATACACTCATACGGGCCTTCGTCCTCGGCTGATGCCTTCGGAATTTCCCATGATGCAACGGCAGAATACCTGAAGCAAAGACACGTTTGGTTTATTGGCCAGCACATATTCCTCTTATTTCATGTCACACCCAGTGGCTCTTTGGCACATCCACGCACTGGAAATAATTTTCATCAAAAGTCAGCTGCACTTCATGAAAGTAATTCAAGCCAGAGAGTCAACACCAAGACAAAATAGTTGCTTTGTTAAATTGAGTATGTGATGTTTAGAAAATCAACTGTGTATATATCCACTTGTTGACAGATGAACCAATAAAATGCAAGAGTGAGGCAGCACTAATGCTTTACAGGCGTGCCCACTGGTAAGATTAGGGAGTGACTTAATTAATGCTTTTAAATGAGGTAATAGGCGCGCGAAGCTTCGGGGATCTGAGGGAATCGGAAGGAAGGTGAGCCAAATGTTATGGAGTGCTGAGCAAATAGAGAAGAGACTCACTGAAAGAACCTCTCGCTTCCCAGTGTAATTCCACTTCTGGTGAATCTTAGTCTGTAGGGAATGTCACTCTTTACAGAGCAGCCAATCACAGCTGGCTGCATATAAACGCCCTTCACTACAGTCGACATGCTCACAGCTGGAGCATCTGCACAAGGGAGGAAACAAAGGTTAAAGGCTATAAAGAGATTGATGAGGTATGGGAGACACTGCAGTGTGGCTTTGGTGAAGAGGGATGCCTTGCCTGGAATGATGTTGGTGTAGGAGACGCTGGACAGCCTCTGGAAGCGGTAGCCCTCTTCGTCTTTGCCCGTTACCTTGATGAAGAAGCTCTGGGAAGGGGTGCGGAATTCCGGGAGACTCCACAGGCCTTGTTTTCCAAGGTCAGAGGGCAGCGGTACAGGGATCGTTCGCAAGGAGCGGCCTGAGCCTGACACAAGCTCCACATGGCTCAGATGACCTGGAGGCTTCAGGCCGGTGCATTTCAGTAAAACATGGGATGGGAGCCCTGAAGGACAAAGGAAGATCGGCATGAGGTAATTTTCTGCACATGGTCTCGGTCAAATAAAAGGCAAAGAGCTAACAGACACATGCCAGACACCTTTTATCGGCCTCTCTCTCGTGTGGTTGAACTCTGTAACAGGTACGCTGGAGAAGCCTGCGCGGAAGTCGAGACTGCTGACTCCTGTGACCCTCAGAGTGTGACGCCCACTACAGCTTATCTTTAGAGTGAAACGTGTGAAGTGAATTCAGCATCATAAAAAAGTCAGACAAAACACATTTGTGATTTATTCACCAAAATAAATACCTTCAGTTTCCAGGCACCGGGTCTAGGAAACTTGAGGTTTATCACACGAGCTGAGTTGGGAATATTCAAGAGTTCTTTAAGGCCCTCCTCTACACCAACTGCCCGACCTTGGAAAAGGAAACATAACAGATGTTATTTCAAAGAAAAACATGACTTTCTTTAAAAGCACTGATAATGCTAGGAGTAGATAAGAATAAATAGGAAAAGCAGGAATGAGTTACCCAAAGGATCGCTGAGCTCGATTTCTGGTGCTGGTCCACTGAGTGACACCGTGACCTCTCTGAGGCTTGGGTCAAAGGGAACTTCCCAGTTGTTTTCCTGGGCACTGTCATGATTGGAGGACAGAAGGTGGACCTTCATGGCCTGAACTGTTTCCTCTACCCACTTTAAAACCTGGCAGGAGGCAAAACACAGCATTTGCAGGAGCACAACCAAGCAAGACATTCCTGAGTGCATTAATCAAACTGTCAGAGAGGTAAACTTCAAAAGGCAGGAGAGGGACAGGAAGGACGCACTGGCCTTAACTCCGAAAGCCCCCACAAAGCCCTTGCTTTTCCCTGTTCTTCGTCTTTCAGACTATTCTTTCATCACAAAACTATTCATGAGACGGATTTTGCCTAAACAAAGGAAAAGTGAAGCAGCTCAGCTGTCAAACTGATAACATACAGTTTTCTGCACTTTCAAGCACGTATTCCCAGAAAAAGTGTCTCTCACAGTGGAAGCCTATCAGGCAGCAGTCCCGCTGCAGCGGCGCAGGTTTTATTAATCATAAAGCTTGTTCCTCAGAAGACAAAGCGGAAGCGGTGGATCGGGTTGTGGGAACGGCCGTGGTTTTGAATTAAACCTAAGCATTAAACTGAATCAGGCAGGCATTTCACACTTTTCTGCTGAAAGGTTTAAGCTGAAGAAGTCTGATGAGGTCAGACAGTGACTCTCTTCTTAGTCATTCCACCACTTTGAGCAAAGATTACAGAAAGGTTGAACAAGCTGATTGTACATGATGGTAAAAACAGTCATTACTTAGACTTTAATTTCCCTCAGCAGCTCTCCACAGGAATCTGTGATGTTACAGGATTTCAGCTTTGACAGGTGCTTGACCCTCTGGGTGTAATCATCAGCGAGGTACTGATTAAAAATGCAGTTTCTCTTTTGTTTTCACTCAAATCAAAACAGAAGCACAGCAAAAGCCCACTGACTTTTCACAGAGTCCTATTTCAGCGGTCACAGCAAACTAAATGTCGTCCATCTTCCAAACGCTTAACAAGCAGCTGCTGTCTAATATTTGTTTTCACCTCGTATTGAGAGGCATCACGGTTTAACTGTGCCTGTAATGAAGCCAAATGAAAACATTTCCTCGGCAGGCCCTTCAGAGATGAGGCCAACACCAACACGTTTTACGACACAGACGTAAAAATGAAACAGGGAAAGCCTTTGATAATTTAATTATCAGCCCTCGACTTCTCCTCTATCGGGTCTGCAAGGTCCTGACAGCAGCTGGATCCTCTTGCCATTTTACAACTGGAAACAGCTGTAATGTCTGCCACGTGTGCAGTCGTCACAGTCAGAGCAGGAAACTGCTTAGAAGTGACCCACATCTATGTCTGTGTCTTATGCGGTAGAGCAAAGAGGAGTGGGCATTTCTCTGCCCTCGGACCTCAGATGAAAGAGAAGAAGAGCCCAGAGGTGGGGCCAGTTCCCTGTCTGGGCTGGCCTGCAGGGTCTAGAAGAGCCGAGCGCCGTAGCCTCTCCCTGGCTCTACCACTGGGAATGCAAAGGACCTTAAGTCCCCGTGAAACCTCATCCAGCGTGTCTCAGATGATCAGGCTTACAGGGCTGTAACAGGAAAGACCCCCTGCTGCTATTCATAGAAGCATGACAGATGGGGCAGAGAAGAAGTGTTACCTAAAGCTGGGGTGATGGTGTATTCCCCACATCGATTCAGGTACATTACCTGAAGAAGAAAATGCGTGACCGCGCCACTGTAAGGTAGAACAGCTTGCCTCCAGACCTCCCAGCGGGCTAGAGGTCAGCTCTGTCTTTACGCAGGTATAAACACAGCATTTACCGGATATTTGCATGAAGATGGCCCGCTCCAAATCAAGGTTATTAAAGTAAACGAGACCCAGACAGATACCCTGCTCCTTCTGAGTGGGAGTTTCCACATAGAGAGGCTCAGCTACAGGATAAGCAGTGCTTTTGTTTAGCCGGACTGTGGGTAAAAGGTACCTAGATTTTATGCCTGGCAACCATTACCATTGCCATTTCCCTTAACTCGCTGCAGCACCCATAATCAGAAAAGACCCCGAGGCTAATCTTATAAACAACTCATCAAGGTGCTCGAGTTATCCATGTATGCACCAACTAGAAACACAAAACTAATAAATCTCAGGTCTTTCTCTGAGCGAACATCACATCACCCAGTAAAACATCACATTCCTCATTGTTCTTCAGCACTTTAGGGCACTTAAGAACGCAGATATTTTTAAATGTTCAACACTTTAAAGACAGCGGTTCTCATTGCCTGTGTTCTGTGTTACCATTTTCACTCACTTATCATAACCAATTAAAATTTAAAGCGCGTAAAGAGCGTGTTACACAGAGCTGACAATAAACTGTTGTGCGAGGACCTGGAGCCAATTCCACTGGGCAGCTGTGTTGGAAGAAGCGAAACCATGAAAGATCACATCCTGGGATTAGAGAGTAAAATAAGCAGTCTGTTTTCTCTGCGCTGGCCCCCCTGGATACCACAAAAAGACACTGTATATTTCATTTGGCTGCACATTATTAAACTACTATTAATGGTGAATATTTGGTTAGATTTGTACTACTTCTGAGGATTTTTAAGGGATTAAAGGATTTGCATTAATTTGGTAAAAGCATGCCACCCAGGAGCTAAAAAAATCATACAGGTTAAAAAAAGAGAAGCGACTGACAGACAGCGTAAATCCAAGAGGGGAAAAAAAGCCTGTTTATATGAAAATGTACACAAAGACTATGTTCAAAATAATAGGGCTACATTAGCACAAAGCCATCTGGTGTTGAGGTATAAGGTCTAGACTACATTTGGTCCCCTGTTCCCTTAATACGACAACAGTAAAATGACTTTTAAGCACTCCTTAAACAGCTGGTAGGATTATGGAGTGATAATGAAACGAGCTGCCACACACACACACACAGGCATTGTATGTCTAGCTATATGCAAGCATGACTTGACAGGAAACAGACCCCCCCACACACAAAGACCCACACAAACACATCTGAGTTCAGAGGTTCAGTGGGCCACCAGTGTGCAGAGCTGTTGGCTCCAGCTCAGCGCTGCCCAGCCATCTCCTGTGTTGACATGTAGGATACCAGTGTCTCTTCCAGAGGAAACTCTGGCTTCTTTTACGTCTGCTTGGGAAGTGAGCCCCGCTGTCTTTGGCTTCTGAGACTCAGCTCCTGTTACATGCTGCTTCCGATATAAAGGAACCACCGGCCCGTATCGTATGACCAGGAAGTTTAATATCAGCACTGGAATCATTTGATTAGGCTAAATGAATTCCTCATTATCATCTATTATCGGTGGGTCAAATGGGAGTTGATGTTGTTCTGCTCCTGCTCTCCTCTGTTATTAGAAAATATCACCCCTTTCATATTCAAATACACTAGAGAGTTCCAATTTAGGGGCTAATTCATTATGTGTGAGGGCTTAATGGGGGTTCGGTGGCCAGTCGTCAGAGCGCACGGTTACTCTGCGTTGCTCTCACCTCATTGACCTGCTGCTTATCCAAGTGAAAGATTTGCCCAGAGGAGGTGGCGGCGATCTCCTCGTACGCCCTGTAACCAGGCTGAGAGCGGTCTCCACAGTCCCCGGTCAACACAAATACTACCTGGGAACGAAGAGGACAGAGGAGTTAAGAGGATTACATTTGTTGAGTGTTTGCTTTCTGCTGAGTCGCTTTCACTTTGCTCCAAATGCTCATTGTCATGCATCATGTAGGGGCTGAGACGAGCAACTTTCCTGCACTCAGCTGATCCCGGGAACTTCTTTGGAATGCAGATGGTTTTTCTTTTTTACAGCATTGCTGTTGTATCCCTTTTGTGACAGCGTGCAATAAATGCAGAGGCTCTAAAGACAGTGTGGGATGGGGCTCGTGTTTGTAGGTTCAACTGTGTTCCAGATAACATCAGTTAAATGGCATCTTGATCATTATGGGAGTATTCAGCACCAGTGAATACAAATGAGATGCTTGTGGGCATGTTTTTATTTTCTTTTAATCAGTTTACATACCATAGATTTGATCAAAGAGAAGCCTGCATCTATCGGATGTTTGACATTGAATAAAGAGCACACATTGGACTGATTAAGTATGTATCAGTTTTGTCCTGATGTATAAGAGGCCTGTTTAAATTCCCTGCCTTGTACCTGTGATTGACGGAGTTGCACCAGTTGCAGAACATCTCTCTTCAGGCGGTAGTCTTTGGCCCTGGCATCAGTAAACACATAGATAAAGGATCCAGGCAGGGAAACCTCCAGTGCTTTCTTTATGGCTCCGATACTCATTTCAGGGCAGTCGCCTCCACCCTGTGTGATAGAATCACATTTGCTTAAAAACTCCAGAAAAAAAAATCAGATATTTATATTTTTTAAATGTTCATTCAGATATCGTGTTGTTGAACACATCCATTTTGTGGAGAGACACATCAAATGTTTCTTAAATACGTTTAAATCACTACCCATAAAAGCAGCACTAATTTACTTTTGAAAGAAGAAAGAACCGGTCCCATAAACGATGTGCCTTATATGAGTACTGTTCAATTCAGTACAATCTGGGGTTCTTAACATTCAACAGATGTGCTGCTTATCATGATTACAGTTTTAGGGGCTGGCAATCCACATACTGTTCACCATAATCTAAAGGTTTCATTCGTACAAAATTATTAATTTATGTAATCTGTGTCTGAACCTGGACAAACAGCTCTTGCAGATCCTGCTGGAACTTCTTTGGGTCGGTGGTGATGGACACGGGGCCGATATCTGTCAGATTAAAAATATACATCAGGAAAAAAAACCTTTCTGTGAAGAAAATCAAACCCAGTCAGCCGGTTCTGTTCTGATTTCTGAAGAGTGTATGCCTATACAGAACAGGATAATCATTGCAACCACAAAACGCCTATGGTCTGGAATTTTTAGAAGGGAGAGCGTTTGTTTGTTTCCTCTTAGCAGCTTTGCCCTTATGAGCAGAGGAAAAGCACACAGCATCAAAAACCCTATTAAGCCAAAGCACATTTTATCAAGGCCAGAATGATGCCCCACAGCCGTTGTGCACCACATGAATATCAATCACACATCACAGGGCACAAGAGAGGCCGTGCTGACAAAATTACAGCGTAACATTTTGTTTTACACAAATCACTAAAAATCTGGCGACAGTTTGCACGATGACGGAATAATCATTTTCCAGACCCAAGGATGATGGATAAAAGCCTGACACTTATTTGGATGTCTTCTGGGGCCAAACTACAGAACAGTAAACATTAACCAGTGCAGAGGGAATGCATTGTGTTGCTGCCCTCCATAAACACGAGCACTTCATCACAGTTATTACAGAAAAAGACCCTCATCCAGTCTTGTATACCTCATGATTTTGGTGTGTCATTGCTCTTTATTCCAACTGTCAAATATAATTTTGAAGTATCTTTGTGAGACTAATGATACAGAGTTTGCAGACATGTGTCAGGGCCATGACATTTCTAATTCATTCTCGGTGTTTTCTCCAGCTGCTTTCAAGTGCTTGTCGACCTCTCAAGAGTGCCTGAGAGGAAACACCGACGGCGCTGTCACGCCTCTTCGTCAGCCACAGAGGGCTTCTCTGGGATCTTGGAAGTTTACAAGGTCCCCAAGGGCATAGGCGCATTAAACACAGACAAAATGTGTGGCGTTAGGGTAGGCAACCCCCGCAACCCCCACAACTCCCCCCCCCCCCCCCCCACGGGTGGCCAGTGGGGGGGCTGCGAGGCAGAAGAGGGAGGAGAGGCAGGAGTAGGGTGGGGTGAGTGTGGGGTGGCGATTGGGGTAATTACACACACAAGCAGACAGCATATGCTTCCCATCAGCGCACAAACACCCTCCCCCCATTGGAGCACTCTTATTTTCAAGCTGTAGCTTTCCCGTATAGAAAGGAAGATGCTGGGCTGGGATGAAGAGCCTTACCTGTCCCCAAGACCCACTGTGAGCTCGCATATCCTCCCCTGCTTGACGTCTTGCATCAGTTTCACTTCTCTCTACAAGTGGGCTTCCACTGAAGCCGCTATGCAGCAGCACACTCTGCTACACGTTCTGAGATGCGTTGCAAGTATAAGTGTGTAAATGGCAGATATAAATAGTAAATCAGTGCAAGGCGCGGAAACTATAAAAATACCACGCTCTCTTTGTAGTAATTCAAGAAAGTCTTTTCCTTTGAAGTCAATGCTCCAATAAATTATAATCATATTCATGAATTAACAAACATACGCATTCCATACATCCACTTTCACGAAAAAAAAGTTTCTTAAGTTGTGGCTCTTTAGTTAAAGAACAAACTTGTGTTAAAGGTAGAAAAAGTACCTGGGTCGTGGAAGGGGACCAGGACAAAGTTTTTAATGGGTCTGGTCCTCCGGCTGAGCGTCTTCTCCAGGATCCGTGAGGCGCCCTCTATCACCTGTTTCAGATCGTCGTACATGGAGCCGGTAACATCGAACACAAAGGCCAGGGTCGAGGCGCTGTCATCGGATTCATCACCCGTCTCAACGCGGGGGTCTGCCAAAAGTCTGTGCGCGCATACTGAGAGCGCCAAGACTAAGCACTTTAATAAGGCACCGGCCATTTTCCAAATTTACTGCATCTGTCTTTTGGAATAAGGCGAGTCATATATTTTAAAAAAAAGGATCACAAAGTTTTAAAAAGTTTTGATTTCGAAGCCGCCCAAATGACTCTGGCACTGCTTCTAGTAGATTTAGAACAACGCGGCTCAGCTGAAACACTTCAAAATCCAGTGCTGAATACTTCCACGGGAGTACATCCGTGCGTAAAGTTTGGAGGAGCATGTGGACTGGCCCCAGGAGAGCTGGTGCTCTGACGCTCCAAACGGGGGCGGAGATGGGTATTAAAAAGTTCCCGGGACCCAACCTGTTTTTTTCTCCTTTCCTTCGTGTGTTTGTGTGAAAGTGTGTGTGTGTGTAACTCGACCCCACTGTGACTTCCAGGCTTCTTTAACCCTATTCAACATTTCCCGTCAGTTTATTTTTCTCTACAATGGCGGTGGGCCCCTGGAGACGCACTTTTTAACAGCTTTCCCCTGTTACCAGCGGGGCCTGGCGTCTGTATTTTGGACGTGTCGAGAACATTGTCTCAGTAACAGCCTGGTTTTTATAAATAGCCATAGTTTATATTCAGCTGACACCAACCTAATTTTATACACAGCCCACGCTGACAAATATCTCCTTGACATATGAATGAAGAGCAATGTCACTGTGCTTCTTTTCTTTTCTGCTGATGTGGATGAAATGTTATTGATCATTAAAAATGTTATCCTCGTGGACTTGGTGCCCAGCTATGATATATCGTTTTTAATGTGATCAGACCTCACAGAGGAAGCCACCACCCACCCCCAGATCTTACAAACGCAAATATGTCAGCTAATTCCAAAGTAAGCTGCATAAAAGCAGAACATTTCTTTTAAGAAACTGATTATTCACATGAAAACACACTCGTGTTTTACTGTACTTAAGTTACACATGCTACATTTGAAACTTATGCTGAATAAAAAAAAACTCTGTAAAGAAACAGTTTCAGGTCAAGGCCCCAGACCCTTCCTCCTCTTGAATACACCTGCATCTGTCCTTCATGAAAAGGGGGGGGGGGGGGGGGGGGGGGATAAGAGACAGGAGAAGAAAGAAAGCAGGTCTGAGCAGGCCCGGAGAGCCCAGCAACTTTAAAAGACACGAGCCCCACCCATTAAACCCATCAATGCCAAGACGTCAGAGTTTTATGCACTTCATTGTTCATCACATAACTACACAGTGCAGGCTTATACCACAGAGCAAGCTGGCATGTTAGATTCTGTGTTATAAAGCATTACAGGCACTAAAGCTTGACATGACACCTTCCCTTAACAGTGGTACAGCAGTGCAAAACTGGACTCATAATAAATTACATTTGAATCACAAAACATCAGGGTCTGTGCAAACTTGAGTTACTTCTTGAGAGTTGATTAAGATTCGTAAAGTTTAAAATATTGCAAATAAACACATGAGCAACAGTCATTCTACAAAGCAGCCCCTTAAAGTTATTAAAAGCTGTTAAAAATAAATAATATATATATATATATATATATATATATATATATATATATATATATATATATATATATATATATATATATATATATATATATATATATATATATATATAATTTTTTTTTTTTTTTTTTTTAAATGAAAGTTTTCTATCCATTACAAACTAAGGATACAGTAATAGAAAAGATAGCCACTTAAATGCATTTTATTCTGTGCTCTTATACTGTCAATCAACAGGAAAATGACATTTAGAATTTAGTAAATTTGCATAAGGCATAAAGATCAGTGAAGCTGAAAAACATCTTAATGCTCAAAATGAAACAATCCAATGGAGAAAAAAAAGGCATCAATACATGTGCAGGTCTCACACAGAACAAATACCAAGCAGACAACTGAAACCACAGAGCTCACAAAAGCTTCACAGTCAGAAATGATGTCCGTTTGTGGCTCTCAGTGACCACGGCTTTGTGTTGCTGAGGGTGCTCTCCAAAGAAATACTGAGCTTCAATTCGGCTGCTGTGAGAACCGGGCTGGGCTGCTTGGCCGGGCCATTCGAGAGGCGGGGGCAGCAGAGCGAACAACAGCAGGGAGACTGAACCACGATGGGATGCACGGGCTGCAAACACAGCAAAATAATCCATAGAAAACTCTGTGCTACTTCAAAATTCCTCCTCACATGAAAAAACAAAACAAAAACCCTGCTCTCTCGAGAAAAGGAAACCTCGGGGCGTGACAAAAATGAGAATCGGGCAACAATAATGAAAAATACAGTGCAATACATTTCAACAACCTTTGATTTAAAAATAAAACTTCATTCCATATTTATGAGGAAATTCCCATAAATGCAGCAAAAAAAAAAAAAAAAAAAAAAAAAAAAAAGCAGAAAATAAATTACCATTATATTTACATTATATAATACACACTATACTGCTTTGTGTCTTTAAGTTAGTGTTCACATTATCACAAAAGTAACACTTTCTTCCCCCCCGACAGATTCTCCTGTGGTTTAGAGTCTCTCTGTGTGGTGATGAAGCAGCAGCACAGTTCCTCTGAGTGAGCAGTTCACTTTGCATCTGCCGCTTTACAGCATGTGAACAAGATGCACACGAACATCTCCACAGGAATTCAGTACCTCGCACTACACAATACTCCAAAGTCCAGAGTTACTCAAGGGTGTGATGCGATGCTGCGTAGCTGCAGAAGCACGCACAAACAACGGAGGGTTTTGCAGACAGGTTTGGATTCGCTATCACATCAGACGATATATTTGTTCACAGTCCGCTATTGGAAACGCAGATGGGCAGATACTTGGGAGTAGAAAAGTTTGCAATCTGCTTCTGGGTGATCGAGTTAAAATGTGGCTTCCTCCCATTATTAGTGTGATGGTGCTGCACTGGTGTGTAACGGACAGTGGGGGGAAGCTGAGTGGGATCCATCTGAGGTGTAAGAGGGATGTGAGTGGAGCAGTTGAGTTATGATACCTGGTTGTGTTCAGAGCATGCTGGGTAATCACTAACAGAGCTGCTGTGTTACTACAAAAAAAAAAAAAAAAAAGTCTTCACAAGCTCACTTCACAGTTGACAAAACGCTGAGCAGGATGTCAGCAACAATTGGCAGCAGCCAGTGCATTACATTAGCCAGTGAGAGGAGGTCCCGTCTCGCTCTTCGTTCAGCGCTGCAAGAATATTTGATTGCCAGTAAACAAATGAGCCAGATGAATAATTCATAAGAACAAACTCAAGAGCAGAAAGTGGCTTCTTCACTTTGGTTTCAACCCGCAGACTGAAGTTCCTTTCTGTATTCTTTGCTCTGAAGAAATAGAAATTACACAGCATTACTGTGAGGCTGAAGCATGACCGGGAACTGAAAAATCACCCATGCGGGTAGGTATGCAGGTAGCAGCTGATTAATACCCCACTCACCTTACATTCCTACACAAGTCCATCATAGAGTGACAATGCCTGAACAATTGAGGGATCTGCCTTTGATCCTTCCTGAAACTCCTGCAGAGTCAGCTTCCCGTCTGCATTCTGCAACACGACACAAAAACAGAAAAATATATCGAGCTGAAGCCCTGTGATGCTTTTACACACACCTTCCAGCAGGGGGCAAAAAAGCATCTCAGGCCATGTCATGTTGCCCCTATTCTACGCTATTGGGACTGATGTTTGGTTCAGTGCACTTGGACAGTCACCACTCTCAGCTAATACAAATCACTAAGTGCTGCTGTGCTGCACAGTTACTCCTATGGGCTGATCTTGGCAGTAGTGAGCTGACAAACATGCCCATGCAGGCAGCATCTCATCTTTCACTAAAGCCGAGTAGATTCTTGGAGCTGACAGAGCGGGCACCAGCACTGAGCGCTAGAGGTGGAGGAGAATATATATATATGATGTTTATAGACTGCAGGCGGTGTTAGTGACACTGTGATGAATACAGCTAACAGCTCTAAACTTAACAGCGTCCATATCAAAGCCCCGAGGGTGGCAACAAAGGTAGACGAAAGCCCTAATAAAGTTAAACTCATGACTATATCAATGTCAGTCTCAATGAATATCAGATATTGCTCTATCACTATTTACTAGGGGTGCAACGATACACAAAATTCACGGTTCGGTTCGGTTCGATACTTTGGTGTCATGGTTCGATATTTTTTCGATACAAAAAAAATGTTCATGCCTTTTTAATTTGTCATTTATTAAAATTATAAATATATATTTTAACTCAAAAGTACAGTTTTTAAATTTAACCCTAACCCTTGTGCGCGTTTTTTATTTTGACAGCGAATGCGCACCTGCGGACCACTTATGTGCAGCCCTGGTTATTTAGCTCGTCATATTGCAGCCACAGAAATTATTTTGTCCATGAAACCATAAAGCTGCACTTTCTTTTTGCCTTATAGTCTCATTTGTCATAACTTCTCCGTTTTGTGGTAAGCTTTTCTTTGGCTGTCACTTCTTCACCCTGACCTGTCTTATTTGGCTCAGCAGAACTGAAATATAAATCCTGCTGCTTTTACACACGCACTCACATAAGCTCAGCAATTCTCTGCGCGATCAACCTCTCACATGTTTAAGCTGCGGGAGATTTCACTTGTCATGTTTGCATAGTAAGCTAACGATTAATAAGACGATGTCAGAGGAATTGGTGCACAAATTATCATCACTCACAGATCAGTACTGTCGCTCTCTATACACAGTTCGCAAGATTGCAAAGTGAAAGCAAAAAAACAAGCGCAAATTCAAACGCGATTTCAATATGTCACATATTGACAGTGGCTCACCGATGCCAATGACATAATTACCCAGCTACATTTCTGAAAGAATGCAAAAGCATTGACATATATTTTTCCTTTCTACAATAGCCCGACGGGCAGAGTAGCCCGTCTGAAAAAAATCGCTAGCCCCAGGACGTCGGGCTAGCGATATTGCAAGCCCTGTATCTGATTGAGGAATCACTCATCTTTGGAAAAGAGAGTTTATTACAGAGAAATGTCTCTTTCCAAAATAAAAGCTATACTATCCGCTTCTTCTGGGCTATATTCTCAGCAGCATAAGGAGAATCACGTGCTAACAGCTGTCTAAATGACTCGGCTAAAGTTAGTAGCATGCTTGTTGTTTTTGTCTTTGCACTAGGATGATGTCGGCATAAATGTGCAGTCATATTCGTTGTGTTCCCACTAGTGCTTTC